CCAATAAAGCAATTAATTTAATTAACATTTTAACTAAAAAAATAAACACAACATATACCAAAGTCTTGTATAATTGATGGCTCTCTAATCCGACAAAAGAAATTATTTGCAGAACACACTTTTGCAGTGAGTCAGTGGGCGCACTTAACAAATCAATTCAATTGTAATTCTAACAAATTATCTACACGGTAGGGCATCGAATTTAATTTCATTCGTAAATACTATGAAATCCCATAAAAATCAGTTCAATCAATTTAACAATTTTTCAAAACAAATAGCTTAAGATTTATCTATACCATTTGATATCTAATAACTTATTCCAAAACACAAATTCATGGTAATAATTTCTTTCTTCATCACATAATATGTTATATGACTCAAGTAATCTTAAAATCTTATATAATCTCATTCTTATTGTTATGATGATTTTTTTCACTTTTGATAAGCTCTTGTACTTTCTTACTATTCAAACACGGTAAACTCAACTTGAGTTTTGAAGGTGTATTATGGAACGACATTATTATTCTTTTTTTTTTTTTTTTGGTTTTAAGAATACGAGGATGGGTTTGTTTACAAAACAAGGACTATCAATAAATAATACTCAATAATCATCAATCAGTATATACAAAACACGTGTCATCTCCTAGTGTGTCTTTAGTTTTTTTTTTAAAAAAATTGCTAATTAAGGAAACAAATCGTTTATCAATATAATACTCATTACTCGTATTATTTTTCATACCTGAAAAAAAAAAATTATTGCTCAAATTTTTTGCCTACTTTTGTTTTAGTGGTGTATTAGAAGCTACACTTTAAAAAATGCAAGTACCAAATCAACATATCATTTATTTTTATTGGTCCTCGACTAATTTATGATTATAATACTTATCAATCAATAATCTATAGTTATTATATATAACTATAGATCGATCACCGTGCATTGGCATGAAATCTAACCTAGTTTTTACAATAACAAAGTTTGTCATTAATATTAATTATCATTAGACTATCTATACCATAACAATTCAACATAACTTTCCAATAAATCTAGGAATAGATCATACTAAATAACATTCTAATATCACTACATAGATTCATTTACATAATTATATGTTAAGATTTATATGAAAAATATATCACAATAACATATACTCTATATTTAAAAACAATTACTTTCCAACATCACCCATTACATTTGGCATTCATTTGCTAGTAACTACTATTAATGACCAATCAATTAAACTTGGAGTAAACTACACAACTACTCCCTAAACTTTGCACAAAGTTGCAGATCACTCACTAAACTTTCAAAAGTTGCAAATTACTCACTCACTTGAGGTTTGACCTTCAATAACAGGTAAAATGCAAGAACTCCCTAAACTTTCTGACAACTCCCTAAACTTCCTCACATGATTTTTAATTAGCTAGTCATTACAAAAACAATAATAATAATAATAATAATAATAATAATAATAATAATGATTTTTAATTGTTCTCTGTCTCGACGTCGTGCTCTGCTTGTTTGAGGGTTTTTGCTGGAGATATTTTCGGTGATCACGCGGTGTCTTGTGCTGGTATTGTGGGTATTAAACATCGACATAATGTTGTTCGGGATACCCTTGTTGATGTTTGCTATCGTTCTGGGATTTCAGCGAGAAAGGAGGTTGACATTGGGTTGGCTGGAGGGAACGACGAGGCCCTCAGACCTGCGGATGTGTTACTTTATTCATGGGATCGTGGTCGTGATGTCTGTGTTGATTTGACAGGGTCTTCTCCTTTGACACAGTCAGGGCTATCTGACTTTATTCCTGGGCGGGTTGTGGCTGATGCTACTCATTGGAAGCGGGATAAGTATGAAGCTCGATGTCAGGCGATTGGATATGGTTTCATTCCCTTCTCCTTTTCTTCGCTTGGGAATTAGAGAAGGAGGTTGTTGCGTTACTGAAGCGGATTCAGAGGTTCTCGACGACGCAAGACATTGGGGCTCGTGCTGCAGCTCATATCTTCACTAAGGTAGGATTTGCTATAGCTAGAGGAGTGGGGGCCCAGATTGTATCTCGGCTTCCCACTAATTTATTGTAGGTTGTATGACTTTTGTTTTTGAGATAATATCAATAAATAATAATAATAATAATAATAATAATAATTATAATAATTATAATTATAATTATAATTATAATTATAATAATTATTATTAAAAAACGATTATTATGTAATAAAATTCTAACAACAGCTATATATACTCAAACAACTATAGTTCAATATTTTTAGTTTTTTTTTTATATATATTTTTGGTTTTTTTTATTTTTTTATTTTTTTTGTTGTTTTAGTTAGAATATTTTATAGCCATGTACTAATATAAGTAAACAACCGCACGCTATTAAGCAATCTTAATTTCAACATCACAAAAAAATTCTAAACTTTTTTTCTAGATCATGTTCATTTCACAAAATTTGGAACTTTAAGTATTTTTTTTTAATAAACGCACGCAACTGCAAATTCATACGACAATGAGAGTTTTTTTTTTTTATAAGGAGGCGATAAGGGATTTTTAGTACTAGGTTCTCTACTAAAGTCTGCTAATTATAAATTTTGTCGAGTTTAATGTGTATAATAAATCAAACATTCAAACAATTTTTTTTTTGAAGAAAAGACAACCAAACTAATTAATATGTGATATATAATGGCACACAATGAATATGCCCATCTTGTTCGAAGAACAATGATTCCTAATTGTTTGATTTGGTAAATCATTCTTTCTACTCTGATGTTAATTGGATCATCTAATTTTATTTTATTTTTTAAAAAAACGAAAAACACGAACCAAACTAGTGCAAAGGAAAAAATGAAAAAATATTTTTTTTTTCCAAGTCAAAAATTTATTTAGTTCCCATTAGCTTACAAATGTATGATTAGATTGTTAAATTAAAAAATTATTTTTAAAAATTATCAAAGTTTAGGGAGTTTACCTATTAGTATAATAGTTTAGGCAAAGTTTAGGGAGTTAACCTGCTATATCAGGTTACTACCTGAAAAATGACCTTCAGCCACCTGAGTAGTGAGTAAATTGCAACTTTTAAGAGTTTAGTGAGTAAAGTGCAACATTTAGCTGAGTTTAGGGAGTAGTTGTAAGCTTTACTCATTAAACTTGTGTTATTAGGTTTAGCTATATACTTGTATCTATCTCAAAAGGGATGGGGGTGAGAAATAAAACAATTTCTTTCTCTGTTTTTTTTAATAGTTGCAACATTTTTTTTTACGCTTGTCGATGCATGGTTTCAACCGTTAATATCTTTAATTACCAATGTGTAAAAATTATAAACATTTGATATTAATTAAAATAGTATAAGTCGAGACGAATCTAACAAATGACTACTTTTTTTATTACGTATAAATCATCAAAGCTACGGAGTAGTCGAAGTGGACCACATGAATAGTGTAAAAGTCAAACTATTTCGGCATACTTTGTCCTCACTCATGCCCGCTCTAGGAAAACTTCCCAGGAGGCCACCCATCCCAAGACTACTCCCAGCCAAGCACGCTTAACTATGGAGTATCTTAGCAAATGAGCTCCCTAAAAAGAAGATGCACCTTGTTGGAATGAATAGTACATTAAACTCCTTTAAAGCAATCATGAGGGGTATTACAATAAAGAAACGAAGGAAGTATTTTTTTTATGGTGCAAAATTGTGTTGGGTGTTTATAAAATAGAGGACATGAAGATGAGTAGAGAATGTTAGAGTGATTATTGGTTAAGACTTAAAGCCAAGTTAATCTGTGACTAGTTTAAGGAGTGAGAAGTTGATCAATTTCTTAAGTAGATAAGGTGATAAACTGATAGTGTTGTAAGGGATTCAAATTAAGTGGTGCAGTCTTACAAAATTAAGAAAACTTGTGATGATCGTAAACACATAGTCGTATATGTTGAAGTTACTAGCACGGAGGATGTTTCTCCAATTACTGTACAAGTCACAAACATATATAACTTTTCTTCAAAAAATTAGGCATGCCAAGTTCAAGAGATGATGCTATATGTTTTAGAACATCTAAAAAAAGTTGCATATTTTCATATGAATATCCTCCATACGATTAAGAGAAAAAATTGATAGAGTGACATGAATTCTTATTATTCATGAATTATGAGTACAATGTGTTGTTGTATACCTCCTAAGTTAAAAATTTGACGATGCTCCATTGATAAGATGTTAGGCAAATGTCCAGTTCATGAAATAAATCCAACTTGCCCTACTTGATTAAATACCCTATTGAATACATCCAAGACATGACCAAATATGTCATTAAGCTATATTGAATCGAGCTTACACGTTTAGGATTTACAAATGATATCACCTAATTATTAAATGACAACCCAAGCATAACCTTTGCCCATATTCTTATCATGTCGTGCAGAGATGCAACCAAGATTTTAACATTAATACGGCACCTAACCACTATCATTACAAAAGAAATATCATTGATAAAATAATTATTGTCATAGTGCAAAATATGAACCACCTAACCACTATTAAAAAGAACCAAAATTGAGCACCAAATTGACAAATAACATTAACATACATAAGGGAAAATTTAAAGTGATCAACCTTATCATTATCAGTTTATATTGTTACAATCAAGAAAACTCGCTCATTACTAGCGTGATTAAAAATTAAATAGTATTAGCACTTAGCAATTGAAAAGAGCAAAATGAACAATCTAATGTAAAACAAAAGACACGAGATTAAACATAATATGCATCCACGCATGCATATAAATTAAAGTATAATATTTTCCTCCAATTGTATACGTAATTTTTTTTCCTAATTATTCGAGCGGGATGGGACAATAGAGCCCAGAGCAATTTGTTGCAAATGGAAGAAGTCAAGTGGATTGATTTGAAGTTGCTTTAACTTTCTTCTAACCAACAAAACTTGACAAAATTATAATTCCACAAATCTTTTATAACATGTGACCAAACTAGACGTATCAACAACAATTCCTCCTTTGTTTTTATTTAGTTTTTCTGTATTTTTTTTTTCATGTTTGTTAACACTGTAATAATAATACCAATAAATCGTGTAAATAAATAAAATCTCCAATTTTCTGAATTCATACCCCAAACAAGGAAAAGGGGGAAAAACAAAAACCCAGAACTTCAATATCTCTCCTTCAATTTCTAACCCCAAATTTAATGGGAATCGAAAATTATCCCCAATTACAAGCTTAAATTTGCTTGTTTGAATCTCGTTACAGAGAGATTATCGATTATCAATCAAATTTCGAATTTTGGAGCTTTATAATTGTACAGTAGAGATTTAATCGGGAAAATTAGGGTTTCTTTTTCGATTCAATTTGGTTTAATTTTCATCAAATTATGTTCTTTTAGGGTTAAATTGATTGTAGATAAGTAGAGATTAGGGTTATGGAGACGGCGGAGAGCAGTAATAGAGGGAGGAAAGAGAGAGAAGAAGTGAAAGTGAAGTTGAAGACATTGAAAGCAGTTATGGAACAGTGTCAAAGAGCTCTTGAATCTCTCAACGCCGATGGTTTACACGATGATGCCGATAATTCTGATGATAATGATGATGATGATGAAGATGATAGCAAAGTAGCTGATGAAAGAGATAATTGCGGTCGATCTTCGCCTTCTTCTTCCCCAGATTATGAAGCCGAGGAAGTAAGCTGCTTTTGATTGTATTTTTTGTTACAAGTATTCATAATTTAGCGATGAATTGAGCCGCAAAGGCAATGATGTAGACGGGATTTGATTCCGGGTTTTGGGTATTATTCCCGAAACTTTGTTATTTAAGCCAGCTGGAATCTATAGTGTATGTAAATTAGTTGATTTAATTGATAATTGACCGAATTATTGTTGTTTTGTTGAAGGTTTTTGTGGGTTGATCTTTACTGGGTGTATTGTTGTTGTGATTTGGGTGTTTATTGATTTGGTTATCAAATTTTCGGAATGTTTATTTTGGTGTTTGTTTTGTTTGCAGCTGTGTGGTTTGATTAAGTCGAGGTTAGAAGGTCCAGAATTTCTTGAAAGGATAGAGAGTGCTCAGCTCTCAGTTCAACAAAAACTTCCTGGTATGCTTTGATCTATGATGTATTTAGAGGCATTTATCAGAAATGTTGTTGCGAATTCGATAATTTTGAATTAATGTAATGTGTGAGTGCAATATGGGATCATCTTATTGAGTGAATACTACTTTGTGGCAGGAGAAGAAGGTAATTCTTGGGACATGGTGAGTGATAATGATTTGTGGGAAGGTGGGAGTGCTGAGGATGATGAAGAAGACTTTGTAGTTGTTCGGCAAGAAGACATTGTCGATGGAATAGCGTGCTTCATGGCTGCTTATCTATTGTCTCTTAAACAGACGAAGGTATGCATTCAAACCAATGGCAATTTAGGCTTTTGTGATATAGCTTTCTTTCTTATTTGAGGAATTGATATGGGGAATTAAGCAAGTGGTTTATGTAGAACAAATGAATTACCGGGATTATGCTTACATGAGAGATGCTTTCACTTAAACCATTGTAACATGCTTACGCTCACTTTCACCAATTACTTATCGTATATGTTATTGGATAGTATACTAAAATTCTACCAAAGACCTAGTGTCTTCTCTGTTCTTATCATCTCCTATCTGGGGTGAGGTGGGAAACTTAAAAGGTTAAACCTCTTTCCAAAATATATGATAGGGTAATTTGGTACATGAAATAAAGCATATTGGGCCTTAAACATTGTTTGTTACCTTGGCTACTTTGTGTGTGTATTGCATATTTAGGGGTCACTCATGCTGTACTTCAAGTCCTTGAACCTTTGGACATGTACTCAATGTGTGGTCAAATATCCATCAGCTGTTTGTCCTGATGCTGCAATTCATTGAGGAGGTGTCAAATGGTGAACAATGTATGAGAAATTTTTCGTTTTTCTATTTGTCAACTTTCACATAGGGCGTCTTACAGTTCATAACATATGCAACTTGTAATCTTAGAATCTCTGATAGTTTTAGCAATTCTCTACTTTGTCAGTAGGCTATAAGCTCTGGTCCAATCTAATTATGAAGAGCAAGGAAAAAATTACTCTCTAAATCTGGAAGTCCAGACTTCTTTGAATTCAAGCTACCTTTTCCATGAAGACAGTAGTTGGCTTATGGCTTTATGCTCATAATACAGATTTTGAAATTCGTAATCTTGTTATATAATAGGCTATCTCCTCCTTTAAAGAAATCTAAAATGATACTTCCAAGTTTTACCTGAATATAGTAGCTCAAACAAGATATACTTGCAAAATTTACCATCCATTTATATGATGGGGTGAATTCTCTCTTAATTTTTATGTAAAAAGAGACTTTCCAAATACTACCTGAAAATATCAGCTCCTTGTTAACAAGATATACTTGCCCTTGTTCTCTTGTTGAGAGTTCATAAATTTGCCTCAATGCAATGTGTTATGTATTGTTAAGGTTGGACTCTTGTTGCATAATTTCTCCGGTCTTCCAATTAGTCCACTCATGATAATCTATAAAACAATCAAAGGAAACCAATTGTACCATGTGACCTGCTATATATTTTTTTCCTCTAATGATTAAAATTGAGGAGATCATGTCCTTCATGCTTTCTGAAGGTAAAAAATTGGATAAGTGGTACAGTTGTTGATTGGAGTGGGGAAGATTTTACTCTGAGCTTGACTTCTTGCTTTTTATTTTGCAGGATCTGAGTCCTAACAAACTCCAAGATGGTAAGCTTGTGAACTTTTCTTTATATTGCTCTGAACTTGATTCTTTGTCCTTTTCTTTTTAAGCTTTTCCTGTGTTGAAACTGTAATGTCTTTGTGTCACTGGAGATGTTACTAACTACATTTAACCTTTCCCCAGCTCTTAGCAAAACTTTCTCGATAAAAAAGAGAAAGGGGAAGCTACGAAAAGCATTGGATGGAACTAGAGTAATCTACAATGTTGCGTCCTGGAGTGCAACTGCAGTTGGGTAGGTTTATTTATCCTTGATGCTTTTTTCTTTCTGTGCAATTTCATTGCAGTTGTCATTTGTGCTATTTTTCTTAGTTTAATGAGCTGTTGGCCAACATTTATTTTTAATCAAGATTTGTTGCTGAATTGCTACATTCTCCCTACATCTAGAACTCTAGAAGCAATGTGTTTTGAAAATTGAAACAGACCTGTGAGCCAAGTGTTGCATTTTATGTGTTTTTGTACAAACAATGCCATCCAAGATTCCTTTTTTTTAACTGCTAATTCTTTGTTTAGATATTCCAATTATAAACAGTAGAGTCAAAGTTTTTCATACTAGTTGAAATGTTTGCTAACTGAATCCTTGTGTTTTTTTTTTCAACAGAATATATCAAAATCCTGCACTTCTTAGAGTTGCGACAACAGCCTTCTGGACCTCTTGCCGTGTCATATCAAGGCTTTTCTAAATTGTTTCCAGTTAGAGAAGCCCAAGAGGGCTGACCATGCTTCATGTGTTCGGTTAAATTTGTACAATCCTTTCACGTTCCACAAAATACTATAGAAAGCAAGTGCATTCTTTTGTGTGCTGGATTGATTGAATTCTCAGCAGAAACAGATCATGTAAATATCTCCATTTAAATTAATTCATCAGTTTCAGGGTGCTTAACAGTTACTGTACACCTTTCTTTTCTCAAGGGTGCTGCTTGTTTAGCAAGCATGACTTTTGTGCTTACACTTCCGCCACTAAGTAGCTCTCAATGGAACTCAAGCAGGAGCCTCTAAATGTCCCAAGTTTTGGGGGCTTATATCGCTCCTACCTTCTCACTTCCTGTCGGTGCTGAAATCAATTCATTATTGAGGCTGCTGTACATTTTGCTTTTGACAATTCGGAAAAAAATGCCAAAAAAGAACAGAAGTTAGGAAGGCGATTGTTTTTGGACGTGCTTTGCATAATATGAAAACGAAAAGAATTTAGGAAGGTGATTGTTTTGGACATGTTTTGCATGATAGGAAAACGAAACAAATGATGTCAAAGTATTATGCAATTTTTGAGTAGCTGTCAATTGATAATTTAGGCTTCAGCGTAATCCTGAGTAAATTGATTGTAATGGGTAATTTATGCCGTGCACTGTGCGCTTAAAGTCTTGAGTATTTTTAAATTATTTTAATACAATGCTGTATTTTTTAAAATTATTTGTAAAAGGAGTTTAGGAATGACTTTCTCACTTTTACGTTGCATCCTCGCTAACCTGTCAATTTAGCTATCTCATGCTAACATTTTAATACTGTAAGATGGACAATTATTGTCCAAACCTTTTTTTTTTTTTGTTTTTTTAATTTTTTCCAAATATCATCATAATTAACTTTATCTAATACGTAGTATAATTAGTGTTATCAGGATGTCTATGTCGCTCTCTTGCGAAAGGATGAGGCCTTGTGGGCAAAACTTAAACACGTTCCGAATTTGAAAAGGAGGGACTCGTCGTTACATCACCCAGATTTGTAACGAATTTTCTCTTACGAAAGGGTTGTGGCCTTGTGGGCAAAGCTGAACACGTTCCAAATTTCAAAGGGAGGGACTTATTTTCTTTACATCACCCAAATTTACAAGGAATAGGGTCGTCATGAGTTCTAGAAGCTCCATTTGATCAAATTACCAATTTGTTTACAACATTTACTCGGTAATATAACGGACACTAGACTCTCGGAGTCTCTAATATCCATCCCATCTTCTGCTTCACCACTTTGGAGGTTTTTTTTTTTTTTTTTTTTTTTTTGTAAAACATGGTGGAATTTTCAATTTGAAAGTAACAACACATGTTCAAATAATAATTCGGATATACATTTCTAAATGCCCAACAAATTTTATTGTGTACAGAACTTACATAAAACCAAAAATTGGACCTAGGATATTATTTTATTAACAAAAAGAATTTCTATATATTGGTTTTCTTTAGAATGTGCTATTTAAATTTGTTAATAGAGCACTAGTACATATTCTCATTTCACAAAATTGTGTCATGACTACAATAAGTAAACTTATCTACATTATTCTACATTGTTTCAGTAATAAAACGTGTTACTCTTGTGAACTTGAGCGTCTTTACACAACATCGATCTTACTTCCATCATCGAACGAGGAGGCTCAATGTCCTTGTCTTGTAAGGCATGCCCCAAAAGCTGCTGCATCTGTGACGCAAATGTGTCATCAAGAACCTGCCATAAGGTTAGACCCTGGGTTAGTGACAAGTTAATACAGCTAGAACTATACTTTGTCATCTTTAATCCCTTTTACAAACGAAGTCTAAAGAGGCAAAATCTTTGTTACACCAGTAAGTCGGAAACAGATAAAATCACTTGCATGTCCGGAGAAAATTTACAATCCCTTAATAATACATGTAATTTTAAAAATGAGTCAGATATAACAAGCTCAAGTAAATACTCACAGAAACAGCAATTGTTGAGCCCTTGTACCACGCTTTATTTTCTTTCCGATTCTCCAAGAAACTAAGAACATCCTGCATCAAGTATTCAAGTATAAGCAGTTTAGAGTGACTGTCATTTTAGATATCTTAGATGTTTTACATCTCAAGTTTATGTCCACCTACCTGACCGATTCGGTCCCAGTAACCCCGGCATAGAGCAATAAAGACATGAGTTTCAAATATGGTGTGCAAATGATTCAATGTGCTCATTAGCTGTTCTTTCAGAGGCTGCATTCTGTTTCTAACATCAGATTCCCCAACACTTTCTTTGGAATCTTGCAGAATCTTCTTAATTTTTGTAGCGTTTTGTAACCTCGTCTACAAGAAAATAATTTCAAAGTTGAATTAACAAAAGCCAACAGAGCTCTCTCAGCCACAGGAGAAAATCCAGAGAAATACTCACATTTTCAACCAGCTTTTCAACAATGGCTTGCAGATAGTTTCTGAACTTTGCTCTTAGCATGACAGTAACCTCACTTAAGCGCTCTCCTGGTGTCTGATTGCCAGCATTAGGGATACAGGAACCCCATGACTTAAACTGAGTTTCTATCTTGGGCCGAAGAATGTCAAGCATCCTCTTCATTGAATTTAAAAGGATCCCAACCTGCAAAACCAAAAAGAGTGTGTAAGAACAAGCCCTCATGCCAATGAGGGATCATATCATCCTTAACAATTTGAATAGACAGAAAAGTACCTCATCTGGAACTGTGTATGGAGCCACATTTCGCTTGGTCAGTTTCTGCATATACTTGAAACCAAATTTCTTTGGCGCAAGATTTTCTTTTAGAGGGGCCAAGACATCGGAATATTGTCGGTCTAGAGCCTCCACTATGGACTTCTCTACATCAGCCACAGCCTAAAAGTACAATTACTTAGTGAGTACATCAACCCAACTTATAATTTGATTCTGCATGTAACAAATATGTATGACATATACGTCTTAGAACTAAGGCCTAATGATAATATAAATCTATTTAGTTCCAAAATAACACAATTTACAGGCCAGCTTGTAATTAGATAATCCTTAGAGCTCAAGACTAGTGATTATTGTTTTTTAAATTTTACAGGAAGCATATGAATGAATCTAGCCCATATTCAAAAGAGATACAGCAAAATGTACAAATTTATAATAATAAAAATAACATACATTTTCCAAGAAAAAGCTATATTCTGGCCAGCGGCTAACAATGACTTCATAATCATTCAGTGTATCTTTTAGTCTATCATACATTTCATCAACAAAAGGGGTAGTCGAATGTTGTGTTCGGACACCAGACCATTTGACCTGCAAAAATAAATTGTTAATGGAGAAAATAACGAGTTACAGCATCAAAAAAAATGTTAAAGCACTTGCTGAACGGGATTGATAAGAGGGATTATTTTGAGCTGGACAAGAAAAAACTAACAACGAAGTTGACATATCTTTATCACTAACAGCTTTAATCTTAAATTTTAGGACAAAACAGAAAATTTATACCCAATTAGGTTTGTATCATTACCTTGTCAAGTTTGCAGGTTTCAAGCAAAGCCAACCGCTTATCCTGAATCCAGACAACTATATACAAGTGGAACAAATCTTTTGCATCAACTCCGCCTTTGATGGGACTACATATGAAAGAAAAAGTAATAATCATTTTTTTTATATACAATTTACAGAATAAACACAAAAAAATAAATGAAGGAAAGAAGAGCCAAGAATTTACTTGATATTCCAGTTGACGAGATCTCTTTGGAAATCTGCTGTAGCTATCACAAGTTCTGCCACAGGTTGTGAAGGACCAGACGGAGGGCACGCAATGAGGAATTCACGTATCCGGTTGCAAAGTTCTACACTATATATTGATGAACAAAGATTTGGCAGATCGACAAAACTGCATCAAAAAAAAAAAAAAAGCAACCTATTAATAACTGATGTTTTTTTGGTCTCATCTCAGAGAGAGGGAGGGGGGACTTTTGCATGATTAGAGGCAACTAGAACTATAAATTGTAAGGGAGGAGTGGTCAGGAAGGCATCCCAGCTAGAGCATAGACCCTTAATGATGAATTTTATATGCTTCAGACAGACCCCAAGTAATGTACTTTTACATCAAGGCACAAGATGATTACCCATACACGTGTTATCGTGTATGTGCATATTTCCTTAGCTTGCAGCCTTTTTATCAGATGATTACTAATAATCTTATTATTTTAAAAAGATGGTAAACAGCTTCCACAATCCAAGGCACAAGACTCCCTATGTTAATTTGTAAACCACACAACACAATGCCCCTTTGGTCTAGTGTTGTACTGTTGTAGCATTGGTAGCTATTGCAATCACATAACTTTACAGTAGAGCAAAGAGCTTAGATAAGCACAAGAAATAAGCAATACATACCTGGGAAGTATGTGCTGGTTGTGGATTTCAATATCCGTGGAAACTTCATTACTGATGTTCAAGCAAAGATTTCTCATATTCTGGTATGCGGTGGTCATTGTAACTTGATCTAGCATGATTCCTTCACCAGTATTACTAACATACTCATCTGTCTCAGACACATGTCTCTTCGACCTTTTCTTTGCAGCAGCCTGGCATTATGAACATTCAGCATGACAATCCAAGGAAAAAAATCTCCCAATATACATACTCAAATGGATGGTGCTTAACCTGGAAGTGTCTACAAAGTTTATTCTGTGCCTCAGGAGACAATATATCGTGAAGAAGAGTGTAAAGTTTGACAGCAGGTTGCAAAGCAGGAGCTGCAACCCCACTTGCAGGCCTGAAGACTTCTGTCATTCCAGAAGGCAGTGATTCATCCAAGGATTTGTAATTCTCAAACGCCAGAGCAAGTATCTGCTCAATTTGATCTTCCACTTCACCTAAGATACGATTCTAAGCAACCAACAAGCGATGCATCAGGAACACACATAAATTCAAACAGTGTAGTATGCCATTCACATGAATAATGCTAAAGGCAAGAGGAAATTGTATGTATTCAAAGCCTAACTTTAAACCAACATACCTCCTGATGACTTAATGTGCTCTTAGTGTGGCCCTTCATAACCACAGGATAAAGCAAATCATACACAAGAGTCAGACAATCAGCTGTCGGTGTGGCAACATCCATGACATAAGTAAGGTATCTGTCATAATAGCAAATTGAGTTGCAATTATCTTAGGGCGTGACTCACACAGATCTCAAAAGCAATGATGCACAAAATTAATAAAAGAACAAGGTTTACCTAAGTTTAGTGTATGCATCAGAAACCCCGTAATAGGTTGCAAATTCTTCCAATAACCATTTCCACTCGCCATGCAGCAGTAAATGTCTTTGTTGAAAATGTTGAACTTTCATCGCAACTTCTAAAACCAGGTCATAGGCTACAGTCTCTGCCACAGAGCCGCACTAGTAACACCACACCCACACACACAAATTATGATAAGTTGACAATATTGTCAATACAAAATTCTAGGAAATCTTCAAAAACATACATCATATGAGCATAACACACACATACACAATCTTGTGCAAGAAATTGACTAAGTTAAACAAGGAGAATTTTCAAAATAATGCAGAAAGTTTCTAAAAATTACATGTTACACAGCTATGGAAAAAAACAACACAAATATATTTGCAAGAAAGAATATGATGAACAAGAGGTAAAGGTCACACATTCTATTAAGCCATCAAATGACTAAAATCCTGGATAGCATCTCTATCAAGACATCATACCTTATTATTACTGTTCTCCTCGGTACTCGTAGAGAAATTGATATAAAGTTGTATTTTACCAACAAGTTCATGCTCTGGTTCATGAAATATTGACCACCAACGTAGTTTATCATTCTGCAAGATTATTCAACAATGAACTTCTCTTATAAATGATATAAGATTCTCCACAAGTACATATGATAAAAAGATCAGAAAGATTACTGGATCATCAGCAACAGTAGCCACTTGGGCAACAACACGCCCACATGTTTTTCCTTTTGAATCCTGAACTTCAAGAATCAAATCATCTCCCAGACCATCTGGAAAGCTGTAAGGTTGTCAATGATTATCCCATGACGACAACTAAACATAAAATGATACAGAATCGAGAAACATACAATACATGAGTTTCGCCCGAACCGGGTTGCATCCGAACAACATCATCTTCTGGTGAACTTTTTAATCTCAGCAGACAGAAATGACTCTCTGGTAGCATCAGAGGAAAAAGGGGATCATAGATTAGAAGACTCTCAAAAGATTCTTGCACATGCTGTAAAAATTCCTAGTTTTACAAAACTTAATCCATGGATTATTTGATTCTTCAAGATAAATCCTATCAAAGCAAGATACATGACCAAAGAAGCTGTATAAAACATTCACGTCTTGGATTTAAAATGCTTCACGGATTACCTTGCACAGGTTCATATGATGATGCACTGTTACGCAATGTGGTCACTACACCAACTTTTAAAAGACCAGAAACCTGCTTTAAGTACTGACTACTGGCTTGAACATAAGCCAAACTCTTCTTTGATAAAGAACCATCTGTAGGCTTATGGAGAACAAAACGCACTCTTCGAAGGGCATGCCATCCTGAACAAACTGACCTCTGCACCTTGGATAACTGTGAGCGGGCAGACTCCATATTTATAACTGGAGCCTTTACAGAACCAAAACTACAACCAGTAGGTGGGTCCAGTCCCATTCTCACTTTTCGAACTGCAATTAAAGGAATCACAGGACCACTCATGGAAAGTTAATTTATTACAGTAATGAAGTCTAACAGCAATGGTAAATCATACCTTGGACCTTCATCTTCCCAATTATTTTCTTTGGTTTCTGCGGTGCTCCTTCAACTGCAACTTCTGAGCCACGCTTAGCCAGAATTTCCTCTTCTGACTGCAATAGTATTTGCTGCAAACTGTAAAACATTAAACAAATATAAGCCGCCAAACATTATAATTATGGACAAAAGCTTGAAAGCAACAAAGTTCCATTCATGTAATAATTTGTTCAAGAAATAAAGACAATTTAAATTCTAAAGTTCCATATAAATCTCGGAAAGTTCTCTTATTATTTGTTTTAAGTCACTATGAAAATTATGGAACAATCCTAACACCATAAGAAAGCGAACAAATGTCTGAACTGATGGAACAAAAATGAAAACAAAACAAAAAATTTCCAGAAGCCAGAAATTATAAGACCGATCAAACGTGGATTGCAGTTGCAGAATTGCATATGATTCATGATATGCTCATCAGGCCATGGTCGCAATAAAGCTCTATTGGAGGTAACCTTAGTGGAAACTAGTATAGTACCCGTGCGTTGCACGGCGGTGATAAGTAGTTTTTCCATATTTCTTTTATATATTTTGTTGTTGATATCATTTTAAAATAACTTGGCTTGCTTTTTACAAAAAATAAAAAAAATTAAAAATTGGTATATAAATATTAAATAAAACATGTACATAGTCTTTTTTTTAAAAAATGTTTATTATTTATTATTGCATTATAATATTTACTACAATGTTATATAAAATTTTCTAAAATGATGGTTAGACAAAGTAGTAATGAGTATACAACAATATTGATGCCAAAATCAGCTTTCGTATTTTTAGTTTTAAACCTACATAATCCTAAAATCTAGCAAGTATAAGGAAAGGGCAAAAAAAAAATTAAATAAACTGATGATAATGAGAGTTTGACACATAGGGCACTTTAAGAAATTGATGACATTAACACGTTTTATTTTAGTAATAGTTAATACATGAGCAAAATTCATAGTAAACGGGAAAAACATAGCACAATGCGCAGTGGGTCGGATTGTTGGAAAAGTCATTTGGCACAACGCTACAACCACTACAGCAGATTAGACAAAGATTAAAGTAAATCTTCATTCCCATAATAATCGCCAAAACACACTGTTAATTGTACAAATTTTAATCTTTAATTGAAGGGCTAAAAATATACAAGTACATAGCGATAATGAAAGAATTGATGTAGACTAAACTCACCCAAATGCACTCCGCAATAAAGCACACTCATTTTCGAGAAATACAGGAGCTTCCATGCAACTTCTTGCCCAGGCATTGAGACAAAGACGAACACAAGCATCATATGCAACCACTGAATGCCATGGTCCTTGAGTGCTGAATTATTTTCCAAGTTGAAACAAAGGAATATATCTTAATATTGTAAAATAGCATAAAGTTTAGAGGTAAAAGTTAAATAAGCTAAAGTAGGATAACAATTCCGATATAAGCAAAAATTACCTTGCATGAAATGTAGGCAGACGAGCAGCATGTGAACCTGAAGACCCTGCAGATTCTGCACCGCCCATAGTTCTGAGAAGCAAATTAAAATAAAATTAATAAATCTTATCAAGTTACCCAGGAAATACATTAGTGTCATTGTTTAGTTAGCAAAAACCCATAAATCTATACATTAACCAAAGATGGCACACCAACCTTGCATGTGGACCAGGATTTGTTTTTTCTATACTATCCACTTGATGTGACCCAGATAGCTTAACACTAGGAACGATTGGCTCAACTTTGTCAGAAGCATCATGAGAATCAGCAGATACTTTGTTATTGGGTACAGGCACAGCTTGATTGGCATCCTGACCAGAGTTGCAAACTGGAGGTGCACTTGGGGTATCACCATCATCCTACATGAAAGGGCTTGTTGAGTCCACACCAATAAAAATTGCTAATATTACAGATATAGAGCACAGAAAGAAAGCTGAAAGAAGCAAACAGCCAACAGGCAGCAAAATTACTGGCTTAAAGAAATGAAGCGCTCAACTTTCACGCAATTATATGGGCATAACAAGCAAAATTACTTTCTTAAAGGATTGAAGCTCTGAAACCTCACACAAAAATACTCCATTACACAGATAGCAAGCAATTTAGGCAGGAAAATCTAAGAAATAGACAACAGCATAATAATTTATGCATCTTTTTGAAATTAAAAAAAAAAAAGTAACAAGGGCATGTGTTATGTTACAAAATGACTTGGTCTCCAGGAAATTATGTTTCTACTCTACAATTTCTAAAGTATATGTCAGCATTCTTTGTAATCCTTTTCTAGTCAACAATCCATATTTGAACCCCATCTGCTGTGGCAAACCAGGACACAAAACAAACAAAATAACAATTTATTCCTTATCTTAGCCTTACACAATATGGACTTCACATGGCATCATAAAGCAATGTAGAACTCACTGAAGTACATGTTCAGATGTTCTTACTTCAAAATCCTCCCTCCCTCCCCAAATATAGAATTTCACATGGGTGTTAATGAAGTTTGGCTGGTCAGCTAACTGTGATGCGTGACTATGCCATTTACTGACACTACAAATTATAGCTTTATGTTATAACACAGGTAAGTGGCATCGTTTTCCATTTCAATTGAGTATCAAGAAATGACCCCATATATACTAATTTCCTGTCGTGACTACAGTTGCAACAGCAAAAAAATGTTTATTGAGCTTGGCATTAACACACAAACAATGCAGCTGCAATTTACCAAGTTTGGAAATGTATACTTGATTCTTCGCTACATGTGCTGACCAGCATTCAGTTTATGTTGTTAACAAGCTTGTGGAAAATTTGAGTCACACTACCAACTAACCAGAAAGGTTTCACAGAAGGTAAAATGAATACTCTCGTATTTTTCATAAATGTTGGAAACAATTTTACACTTTTATCAAGCATGTAATTATACACATTGTAAGAAAGTCGAAATAACATACCTTCCCAATATTCACCTTTGAAGTTATGCTAGATGCATAGCCTTCTGAAACATAAGCTTGTGAGCGAGAAGCAGTGCGAATGTTGCTACCAACTTGAGAAGAAGAAAACTCGGAGCTACCAGCAGAATCTTCAGACTCATCTTCTGCATAACCATTCTGCGCGACTGGGTATCTTCCATTCTTTTTAACTAATCGCTCACCCCTCGTCCCACTCAACTCTACCGACGAATACACATCAGAAGACAGATAATCACTTCCATAACTCATCCGAGTTGGAGGCAATGATCTTGTGTTGGAGTATCTGTAACTACTTGTAATCGAGGGAGTAGCACGATCATCCTGCGGGGACGAATCCATAGAATACCTACCGCCGTAAACATCCTCCTCCTCGGATTCTGAGGTGATGTCATTGCCAGAGACAGAAGCAGAGTCATCCCCAGGAATACCTCTAGATACTGGAATTGCAGTGGGTGGCAAATGCCCACTTCGGAACTTGCCAGGTGGTGGCAACCCAAAACCTCGGCTGCTGCTTCTTATAATTGGGTCAATCCTTGTTCTGTTGTCTAACACTGACAGTGGTTCTTCCTTCTTACCATTCTTAGAACCCTAAAAAAATAATTAAAAAATAAAAATTAAAAAAACAAAGAGTTTTATTAAATTGAAAACATTATCAGAATTCCATTCACTCCCTGATTTAACCACTATCAAATATATCAAGATTGCCAAAATTAAAATGATACACTTGAACACAATATAAAACTGATACCTTTTTTTTTTTTTTTTTTTTTTTTGAAACATGATACCAAAATATATAAAATGCAAATATAGAAACATTATCAAAATTTAGATCATACCCTTCAAAAAAAAATCAAAACAAAGTGCAAATTCAACAACATTACCAAAATTCAAATCAGACCCTCAAAAATAAATTAATCATAAATGCAAAATTAAAATTAAAGTGCAAAATCAACAATTGGCAATGTACTAAATAAATTACAGTAATACATTGCCAAATTTCAAATCAGACCCATAATAGAAACAACAACAAAATTACAAAATCCAAAATATAACCAAAATTAGCAACATACTAAATTTAAATCAGACCCACAAAAATAAAACCAGATAAAAATGCAAAAATTATAAAGGAAAAATGTGGAAGTAGAAGAGTACATACCTCTCGAACCCATTGAAGGGCACTGTTATCAAGGCCTTCAGTGAACATTTTTAGGGCGGAAGTTTCAACTTATTGAGAACCTAGTTACCAAAAAAAAAAAAAAACAGATTTTTATTTATCAAAGTTGAAAAAATAAATGAACCCAGAAAATAAAAAAGACAAATTTTGAAAAGAGGAAGAATGGAAATTTGAAATGCAGAAAAAAGCAGATAACTCACATAGAAAGCTTGAGTTGGGCCACAAAAACAGAGAAGCTTCCTCTGATTTTGTAGAGAGAGAAACCTGAAACTGGGAATTTAAAGAAGAAGAAGATGAAGAGAATTTTAGAGAGAGAAAGTTGAAATTTTTAAAATGACATAATCAACACTCAAGTACAAGATTAGTATTCCCAGATTAAGAAAGAGAGTGTGCGAGGAGCGGTGTTCCTTAGCAAGGAAGAGTGCCAATTTTATGTTTTTTTTTTTTTGGTATGGTTTTGTTTTGTTGTTTTTATTTTTTAAATGAAAATTACTTTAGTTTTGCCTCGTAAAAATATAAAAAAAAACAAAAAAAACAAAATAGCGTGTTTGTTTGACACACCCAAAGCATAAAAGTAATTGGGTAACGTAACCACTAATCAAGTAATCTCGATCACGTGGTATAGCTAAGCTAGTCGGATATGAAAATTTGTGAAAATAAAAGGCAAATGAGAGTATTTTTGGGAGGAAATAAAGAAATTTACCATTTTATTTTTTAATATGCAACTAGTATTAGATTCAAGTAATAACACTAATTTCCTCAAAAAAAAAAAGTAATAACACTAATTGATACACGATTTTATTAATAACAATTTATACCGTAAATAAGTAAACTCGTTTTATACCGTATACTCACTTGTTTATAACTTAAATCAATTTCTATTTTCCTAGGTTGAGATATTTATTTTATACTCGTAATTTGAAATTGCATATCAAATCAACCTTATACTTCTAAGTAATTCATCAATATTAGAAAAATTTTGCAGGCTAAATACTTTGTAAAACTTTATGGTATATATCATATATGTAATTAAGAATAAATAGTTTTAATTTATCAAAAAAAAAAAAAAGGGAAATAAAAGAGAAAACGAAAGTGGCGAAAATAGAGGGAGCACGAAAGTGAGGAGGTGTAGCGAGGGGAGGGGGTGATATAATAACAAGCGGGTGATGGAGGCAACAAATGTAACAGTCGAACGTTGGAGTGTGAACTGTGAGCTTCTCACCTCGTAAAATTTCTACGGCAAATTTAAAAAATTCATGAATGTCACATGGATTGTGGGTCCCACATTTGAACAGTAAACCTTCCCCTGTTTTATTCTTTGGTTGTACTACCAATTTTTGTTGTCTTGCTTTAAAAAAAATGTGAATTGTTCTTTATTTAATTAATACTCGGTAGAATTTGCGTTTAGATTATGCAAATCAAATTCATTACTCTTTATGTCCCTAAATTACATTCCTGCTTTCTGTTTTAGATATTTCACAATTAAATTTCACCTTTTTATTTTTAGTAAGTTTTTTTTTTTTTCTAAATATCCCAAATACATTCTCTTTTTCAGTTGTACTTTTAATGTATAATTAATGTATTTACATTCCACTTTTAATGTTTGGTTGATTAATGTACTTTTTTAGCCTTGTGCCAAATTATAATGAATATGATTGGTTAAAAATTTTCAATTAGGAGCATGTAATTGGTCTTTTTTTTTCAAAGGATTGATGACATGTTATGAACAATCACTAATCTATCTTTGTTTTACTCAAAAACATTATTTAATATTTTGTACTTCTCATTGCATTATCTAATTATTGTTATTTGTTCCCTCAAAAAAAAAAAATTTATTATTATTTGTCTTACTAATTTGGTATGACAATTTGAGGTTAACCATGTTAATTGTGTATGATAATATGATATAAATAAAAAGATGGAGTTGTTTTCAAAAAAAAAAAGATGGAGTTATGATGTGAGTTTACCATACAACATTTTTAGAAAAGCCCTAATTAGACTATAACACTCATAAATTTTGATTGGGTAAGCAAATTAGACATCTAAAAAGTAAGAATTATACAAGTAAAATAATCTCTACCTTAAAAATTCGAAACTTTAATCCAATGAATAATTTTACTAAGTGAGTAAGTGGGGCAATAAGTTTTAACTATACGAAATAAATATTATACTAGTTACAAGTATGATTTATGATGTAGCTTTGATATGGTCAAAGGTCATGGACTTTGTCATAACTTTTCTATAAATGATATAGAGTTAAGATGCCATACTACCATTTAAAGAATTACTAACTTGTACTCCATGATTTAATTTGGGAGTTTACTATGTTGTGAATCTTGTGAAGTTGTGAGTTGTGATGCAATTGAAATATTGAATTAATTGGTCAACATTGATAAAATTTGACCTCATATCTCAAAAGTTAAATATGGACAATTATTTTATAATGCATGTTACAGGGCAAATACAAGTTTATCTGCCAGATAAACGAACTTTTGTTAATCTGGTGGCATTTGTAAATATATTGGAAAATTGTGGTCATTTATTCAGTACTTTTGGTGAGCTGTTCAATTATTGTTTGCAACTTGCATTTATTGTAACACTAAATTTACAAAATTAAAATATCAAATTTATTGGATCAAAACAAACTTGAAAATTGGAGTCTTATCAAAGTTATTATCCTAAAAGAAAAGTCGAAATTGCAAATAATTTTGCACATTACTATACTATACAAAATTATATTTCAATGCTCATAACTTTATATTGGCATAACCCACTGCTTTAACATGAAGAAATTCACCTTGTACCCTTAAGTGTTAGTGACAAAAGTGAAAAATGGTAACTAACCACGCCTAGCATCATTTTCATAATCTGTTATACACCCTCTGTGTTTTTTTAAGTGTTATAATTTGATCAAATACGCATGTTGAGACAGGACTTTGACCACTAATTTATCTAATTATACTTTCACAATATCAAATTTGTTATAATTTTACTAACTTATAACAAATTTGATATTATCTGAATAGTATCAACAAAGTATTTTAAAATTTGACAGGACTTGACCACTAACTTTTTTTTTTTTTACTATTCAGATAATAGTTTTGACTTGAAAGTATACATTATGACTAATCCAACAATGACAATAACATTTGTTTTCTCTAGATTAGTAAAATAATCAAGTCAAAACTATTATCTGAATAGTAAAAAAAAAAAAAGCCAAATTATACTTCCTCCGTTCTGTTAATATTGCAACAAGGAGGAAATTACGCATCCCAAAACACAATTTATATGCTAAATATCTATTATTGTGTAAGCGTAAAAATTATAAAAACTTGATATTGTGAAAGTATTTTATAAGACGAATCCAACAATATCCCACTTGACTATATTTTGTTTAACGTATAACTCATATTATATGGTCAAATAAGAGTGACGAATAGTGCAAAAAGTCCATTATTGCAATATTAATAGAACGGAGTAAGTAACACTTAAAAAAACACAAAGGGAGTATATATATATTTTTTTGAAGCCTAGAGAAACCATTAATCCATTATTTCATTATTTGTTAGCCTTTAGCACTTATTGTTGTTATATATTAGGAATTAATAGCAAATTAGTTAAATTACCATCCATTTTATACTTAAACGTGAACATTTAATCTTAGACACCTAAATTGACACTTAATTTCTTACTAGAAGATAACTTTCTTTATAATGCTTTTCATTATATTCTTTTTAAGGTTCTTTAAATGATTAAAGTAGCTTGCAATTAAAGAATAGAATGTGCATTTTTAAAGCTAAAATGTGATAAAAATTTCACTAATTGCAATAAGGAAAAGGGGGAAAAAAAAAGGTGAAATTTTTACCAAATTCTCAGAAATTAGTTAACTAAAGAAGCCTTTATAAAGTTGTACTTTAATTTGAATACTAGCCATTATCATAAATTATAGTGGACTTAATTTACTAGAGTTTTCCTCTTAACGGATAGTTGGATGTTAATCTTTAGTTTAAACCCAAGCTTACATATATTATCCACATATAATATAATTATCAGCATGTCATAATCATATAAATAATACTTAATCATTAGCAAAATGCAAACTTTAGAGATGGGTTTTAACAATTTTAAAATGCAAATTTTGGTTTGAAGCTTTAATGTCAACATCAGATGAGTTAGTGTACTTTGTACTTTTGTACAATGTCCTTGTTTTTTCAGGGTGTTGACATTTTTGGAAGATAGTCCACAGTTTTGGTGTTGACATTTTTTGATGCATAATGTTCATAGTTAATGGTGTATGGATGTGTTTTAATGAATTAATATCTTTATGTTAAAATTTTGACTTGTAAGTTCAAAATGTTTTATTGTTATTATGTTCAAGAAAAAGTGGTCCAAGGCCATGGTTTTCAATACACTTGAAAATCGTTTTGAATAATTTTCGAAATTCAAAATGATTTTATTGTTGTTATGTTACAAAGCACAAAATCAATTTCTTCTTGTACTTTGTGAAGTTTGCTAGCTAGAGCAGGAATGAAATCATGCTGCAGATGTCTCAAGCTTTGATACACTGTATAAACTTTGGCCAAGCAAAATCAATGATTGGAACATTTCTCTTGCGCAAGGTTTCTGTTATACTTTCGCCTAAAATGGGATGATTCTATGTGGAAGTGAGGTTTGTCTGGGTATCTTGATACGTGCAGCAAAAACCGCTGAAAATATGAGATGCCATGTAATTGCTTAACCAGTTCGCTCTCTGTTAATTGTCTAACTATAAGCAATGCATTTAGCGTGACTCACTTTTCAAACAATGTCAACAAATTTTGTTTTTGTACTTCTGCTCTGAAGTCTGAACAAATGTTATCTGGTGCAAGTTATTTGTAAATGATTTATAAAAAAAAAGTTACTTATTTCATTATTTGGGAAAGAAGCTATATTAGAAAGAATACCAGTATCCAACAGGTAAGAATTTCCGGGGACAATTTCCCATTGATCCAACCCCGGCAGCAAATCCCTAACAATCACAGCTCTAACACTCGGAACTATGTTTTTCGTCTCTTTTACGCTTTTGCTCTTTATTGCTTCTCTTTTAATATAACCTATGCATATAGTTCGTCGACATTACATTCTCCAAGGAAGGCCTTAATGCTTCGAGGGGAGCCACAGTTGCCTTCTGCGAGAAGCACTCTATCATTGGCTGCCATGTGAGCAATTATTTTGTAAATCATTTCAATCTGCAGAAAACAAAGGCCAAATTAGATTTCATTGTTGGGTTGGTATGTAGGATACAACTCATACAAGAGCACATCATATCCCTTATGGAGAATGAGAAAGAGTGATTTACATCTTCAGGGCAATGGCAACGATCAGCCACTTCTTCAATCGTCAATGGCTCAACGGGATCCTTGCAACTATAAGCAGGAAAGGACTTTGTTAGCTATATAAAGCAATACAGAAACATCAAACATTAAGGCATTAACTGATTGCAAAAGCAAAAGAAATGAAGAGCCAAGGCAAACAAACCTGGCCTCATTGAGTACAGCTAGAACCCGCTTCTGAAGACCTAATACCTCTGCTGCAGCTTTTTTACCAGCCTCCACACCTAGAAATTTGGATACAAAAAACATGCAGATAAGAAACACGTTTAAAATGTTATAATATATATAGAGTTTCCTAATTTTGTCACTTAAATCTAGATTAGTCCAGCGAATTGTACTGTGCAGTAAACTCATTCAAGTCGATGACACATCAGATACCTGGTTGATGATACGCGTTTATGTTGACAAGTGAGGCGTATAATCCGACAGCTCGTTCATATAGTGCTACCATAGCACCAACTGACCTAGGAGTCACTTCTTGCACAGTGACAGAAATTGACTCACGGTTATTTGCATAAAGAGCTGACCTTGTACCCTGCAAAGCACCAATTATAATTATAAGACATCAAGATATTTTGCAAAAATGCATGTTTCATGAGGTGGGTAAGGTTAGTAGTGGCCAACATTCAAATTTTCAGGCTTGCAATATTAAGCTTCTCACTAAGTAGCCCTCATGGCAGATAACAACAGCTTTTATGCAGCCTCAATTACAAGACTCTGCATACTTATATCCTCACATCCAAAGAATACAACCACGTCAGAGGTGGGAGACATGAGGAATTAAATATGGTTGTTGATAACCCATGAATTGATGCAGTCGTGCTTTCTAGATAAATGTAATTCCAGAACAGCGAAAGCTAAATTCAACAACTCGATCACCTAATAAAAATGATTCAGAAAACAGCCAATAAAGTTCAGACGAGGGTGTTTTTTGGAGGAAAAGAAAGAAGCCTAAGTCGCCAATCCAAGTTAGCTTAGTCACGTTAACATATTGCGGTGGAACAGGAAGACCAAAAAGTTTAGGATAAAACTAAAATCTATGACTTCTCTATTCTAGACGTAAAGTCTCCTGCAATTTAAATCTGGAAGATTTAAAAGGTACACCATCTACAGCTCTACAAGCAGAGCTATAATTAGTACTACAGTATTAGGCATTCACCAAGCAGCCATACAAGAGATCAAGTTTCTGAGTCAGAAAGATCTTCCAAAAGGATACAGAACAACACATTGTAAGCAAACTCAAAGATGTACAGAGTATACAAAGCCCATTATCATTAAATATGCTAATAAAATTTCCAAAATCAACTTCAGAAGTTTAACCTGTAACATTCCAAAGAGATAATCGCCACATGTGACACCTGGTTCAAGCTCCCAATCATGACCTGGGGGTCTATCACGTAGTACTTCGATAAATGTGACAAAGAAGTTGTGAACCCCATCCCTAAGTTGTTGAATGTAACTGCAGGAAAAAAAATAAATAAATAAATAAAAAATTCAGGCCTTGCCTTCCTTAGAAAAAAAATTGCCATACAGCAGGCTTATTGATACATGTTTACAAATTTGCAAAAACCTACGCATGCTGATCTGTGCTTCCTTTATTTCCATAGACACTGATCCCCTGGTTCACCTGTCACAGTAGAGAGAATACAGCCGTGAGCACAATTAAAAAACTGAAGTTGAATCCCAGATACAAGAAGAAGAAATGAAATGAAACTTATTTGCCTTTTTGAAAATTCAACAGTTGGGCTTCCTAGTTGCACCAACGTAAGTGACAAATTAGGAAAAACTAAAGTCTTCTTTCAGTTGTGCTACAAGTGTAAACGGCAGTAGCTTATATGGCATCATCAATTAATTTCTAAATGCATTTGTTGAGGGCCGTGAGGCATTATTAATACAATATGTGATATCTTGGAATTATCAACACACATTATGCTCCAACTAAATTCTCTGCATTTCATGTGTCACACACCTAAAACAAAAAAAAAAAAAAAAAAAAAAAAAAAAAAAGGTATCGAATAGATTGAGACTCTGAGTGCTTGGTTTGCCTCTTTTGCATGCATAATTTTGTAGAGCATTTACTTTATACAGGAAATATCCAAAATTAAAATTTTCAAATCTATATTAAATGTGGGTCTTTTAGAGGATTTCATGTATACAAACATAAATTGCAAGTTGTGTCCTCTCTTTTCCTTTTCTTTTTCCAATCATATACCACTCACAAATAAGCCATTTGTTTTTATTTCCATGCCAGAGTGCCAGACTGACCATCAATCTATAAAAGACACCTTGATTTATATACATGGAGATCGTATTGATATAGTCATATTAAATTTGACAATGAAAAATATAATGACATATTTGTGAATGGAAATAGTACATATAATTAATAAGAAGCACAAAAATTGACAATTCTAAGTTCAACTTCTGGGTGATACTTATAGAATCCTCCAGAATCACTGAATCGGTACACTTGGATAAAAACTTTTATCATCTTATTCATCATCCTGGTTGCTTTTTAAGAGAGTGATATCAAAAATTTCCTCATTGAAGTATGTCATCCTATTTATTGTTCTGGTTTGGTTAGTCATTATAAAATAATAATAATAATAAAAAAAAAAAATAGGGAAATTCCCATTGGTACACCCGTAGTTATGACTTTTCCCATTGATACACTCCAAAATTATTGCCTTCCCATCGGTACACCCATGGTTTAGTCTTTTTCCCAACCGTGACTAACACCGTTAAAAAGTATTTCATTAAGTTAAAATAATCAAGGAAAAGACTATAATACCCCTTTTAAATATCTTATGTCTCGATTTGCGTGTCGAAAATTGTTCGGTTAAATTTTTGGGAGTCCTAGTCGTTAAGGATCCAAATTAACCTCGAAATTAGCAAAAAAAATAACCACAAATGTCTCATATGCATGTCAAAAAATGTCTCGATTTGCGTGTCATTATTTTTTTTTGTGATAATAATTGTTCGCTTAAAGTTTTAGGAGTCATTTTGACCCTCTATGGGTCTAAATCGAACTCGAAATTGTCAAAAAATTAACAAAAATATCTCATTTTGCACGTCATGATATTTCTTTTTTGTTTTGTCATGACACGCAAAACGAGACATTTTCGTTACTTTTTTTACAATTTCGAGTTCGATTTAGACCCTTAAGGGCTCAAAATGACCCCTAAAACATTAACCGAACAATTACTATCACAAAAAAGTAATGGCATGCAAACCGAGATATTTTTGACACGCACATGAGACATTTGCGCTGTTTTTTTTTTGCTAATTTCGAGGTTTAGATCTTTAAAGACTAACATGACTTCCCAAACTTTAACCGAATAATTTTCGACACGCAAATCGAGACATTAGATATTTAAAAGGGGTATTATAGTCTTTTCCTTAATTATTTTTACTAAATGAAATACTTTTTAACGGTGTTAGTCACGGTTGGGAAAAAGACTAAACCTTGGGTGTACCGATGGAAAGGCAAAATTTTTGGAGTGTATCAATGGGAAAAGTCAAAACCACGGGGGTACCAGTGGGAATTTCCCAAAAAAATATATATACTACCTCCGTTTCAAGTTTTTTGCAACTTTGGAGTCGACACGGACTCCTAGGCAAAAAATGAGAAATGGAGATTAAGAAAAGGGAGGGACATGTGATTAAGGAAGGAGAGAGAAATTGGGGATGATTTAATAATTAATTTACCACCTTCCATAACACCAGCCACACGCATCACCACCTCAATGCACAACCACCTTGACGCATCGCCTAGTAACAGCCACCAACACTAGCCTAACGGACACCGCCCAACCACCACACATCCACTAGCGCTCAAACCCAAAACCTAAAACTCATCGCGTAGCCACCATACACACACCCACACAAACCCGAAACCAACCCCGCTGCCACCACACAACCACCCGGTAACGCTCCCCCACTAACTCATCCTTTAAAATCACCCACCAGGGCCACCACCGACACCAACCCTCATCGAAATACCCACCAACCTATATCGCCTTAATTTAATTCGTTTGAAATTGGTGGTTCGACCACCACCATAACCGAGAACTTTCGGTCATCATTGTCCATGGGTAGATCTTCACCACCCCAATGGTTTGTCTTCGTGGGAGAGCATAGAAGGGGTCAGATTGAAGGGTAGAGAAAGAAAATGGGGAATTGTGAAGAAGAAGTTCAAGAATTGGGTTTGATTTTCTGGAAAGATTCGATGATAGATGAATTATGAATATAGTTCAATGAAGTAAAATATTCAGATTAATTTGGTTGGGGGAATTAATTAGATTTGGTGGATTTAGATTAATTAAGTTGGATTTTATTTAGAGTAAGTAACTAATTGAGTTTTTGAAAATTTTAGTAAGGGTATTTTAGTAAATTTATTTAAAAAACTTTACTAAAAATGGAAATTTTTGGAAAGTTGCAAAAAATGTGTAGCAGACATTTTTGGTAAAAGTTGCAAAAAACTTGAAACGGAGGTAGTATATTGTTTCATGCTCCAACCAATATCTCTGCCTATGTACCCATGGATTCTATTTCTTCTTGGATATACCTGAAAGAAAATTTGTGCATCACCACATTACGGAGTATTGTTTTACTTTTAGTCTAAGGAAAAATTTATGCTTTGTTGTTCTTGTTGTGTTTGGAGTCTATAGAAAACATTGCCCAGCAAATGCACGCCGCCACTACTGCTATATTGAATATTTTTTTTCTTCATAAATTTCTTTTTAAGGTGTACAGATAAAAACAAATTATGCTGCAATAAGCCTACAAGCTACCAAGCTATATTTTATTTTATATGTAACAACAGTAATCCCAAAAGAAATGCAGCTAATGCCTAGCTGCCTCCTACCACTCGTAAAGTATGTCCAATTGGCATATGCTTCATGTAAATGGATATAACAATTAATATATTAATGATGACAATGCAAATAATTCTTCAAGTACCAGGAATTATGATATGGAGTTTGAAATTTAAACATCACAAATTATTTACTATCCAACAATACATACCCTGTTACCATCAAGGTCAAACTCCTTCCCAAGTGATTCCATGACCAGCTGTTGCAGGTACCGGCTAAAGAGTAATAGACTGTCCTTGTACGGAAGAACAACCATATCCTGCAGAACCAAAAAAAAAAAAAAAAAGGCTGTCAGAAGCAAACTTACAATGGAATAGTTGATAGAATGAAACCGCAACAAATTCCAAATCTTCAGATTACACAGAACCTTGAACAGTAAATACCTTTGAACCAACACCATCTGATGCCCAGTACCAGGAGAGAGCTAGTAATGCCGCAGGATTACTTCTTAGCTGCAACGAGAAACTTATCACTTATCAGCAATGATGGGCATGGAGAGAAAACCAAACTCAACCAAGTAAGCAACACAAGGATCTCAATCTCATTTATTCAGTAATAAAAGAATGTTGTTTTGGAACTCTTCATAATAAAAGAATAAAATTAGATCAAATTTCATTCAGGCACAACAAGAGGGCAATATTTAAAGTTAAATTACACCAGGATTCGTCATTGCACCATCCTTCATTAAGCATACACCTATATAAGCATCAGAATATTAAGACCGACATGGCAGCAAAACAATCATGAGAGCTTACCACAGGATTCCTAGTTGCCTCATCCATCAAAGCTGCACCAGCAAGCATTTCTTTTATATCAATTCCCTACAGAACACTGGCTTTAGACTGAGTACATATACTATAAAGAGGCATATTTCCATCTTTCAGTGAGGCAACTGACCTGAAGAGCAGCTGGAAGTAAACCTACAGCAGACATTTCGGAAGTTCTACCACCCACCCAATCAAACATAGGAAATCTGTCTATCCAGCCTTCGATTCGTGCAGTATTATCTAACAATGAGTTTTCTTGTGTAATAGCAACACCCTGCCAAGAGTAATTTTGATAGCAAAACTAAATCTGTAATCTGAGTGTAAGAAAAGAAAAGATATTCTAACAAGATAAAAACCATCACAATTATCTAACAATTCGTGCAGTATTATCTAACAATGAGTTTTCTTGTGTAATAGCAACACCCTGCCAAGAGTAATTTTGATAGCAAAACTAAATCTGTAATCTGAGTGTAAGAGAAGAAAAGATATTCTTACAAGATAAAAACCATCACAATAGTGCTCATATATTCCAAATTCATTGGACATAACACCAAGCATGATAAAAGGGATGCTATAGTCTTTAAAACAGTGATTCGTGGAAACTCATGAAACATAAGATCTCTTAAATGTAATGGCCATAGCACAAGTAGAGGCAGAGTGTCCAATCAGAAACCCATGTTTTGGCAGACATTTATGACAAAAAGTAGCAAACAAGGACCTGAGATCAAAACCTGTTTTGCGAACACCAATCCAGCTTCACGGAAGGCCTTTTGTACTTCCAATAAACCATTTCTTGTTTCCGGTGTACCACCACTCTGATCATCACAAAGAAAAAATAGGTCAGCAAGTTGAGATAATCGGCATTGATGAAACTCCAGTGCATTCTAAAATAAAAACGATTTCAACAAACCTTTGAAATAACAATCACAAGTGTTGTAGCCAGGTCAGGACCAAGTTGGGCAATTTGATGATCGATTCCAGCAGGGTCAGTATTGTCAATAAATCTTATCTGCATGGAGTACAAAGCATCACAGGTTCACAACTAAGCCAAAAATTGTAAGGTAGGTAGAATAAGGGAACTTAGTGAAGCAAAAGTTTATAGAACCTATGGAAAATGGAGGGTTTTAGACAAACAAAGACCAAAAAATGGACGAATTTAGAAGCAGCGAAGCAATTTAAATACATGGACGGAATATCACATACCTTGAGGGGTGGATTGTCAGGAGCTAGTGCTTCCGCAACAAACTGAGGCCCAAGTGCTGAACCACCAATTCCGACAGAAAGTATTTGGGTAAATCGTTGTCCATTCGGAGCTATAATCTGCAACAGTTGAACGTGGATTACAACACCAAAAAAGTCCAAATAAAATATACATAACCACAATACTAGTGCATTCTTGATGGTACTACTATGTAACAATATTTTAAACACTTCTAACAATTTTTAAAAACTAGAGTGATTCCACCTCATTTTCAATTCTTCTTTATCAAAACAACCACAAAAAACAATTATGCCATTCTTCAATTGGCAATTAACAATTAGCATATTCATCTGATGTACATCTTAAACACTTCCTACATAACATATCATTCATCTGGCCTCGCATGAGCTTGACATTAATCATTAGCACTACTCAGCTGCTGTGATCTATTGTTTGTTTTTAGCCCCAACTTCAATCATAATCCAGTTAGTAACTTAGTAATCCTCAATTCCTCAGACATTGAAATCTACATGAACTTTTCAATGAAGATAACTGCTACACATCCTCGATTCCTCAGCTGCTGTGATCTACTGATCTATTGTTTTTAACCCAACTTCAATCATACTCCGGTTAGTAACTTTTAGTTATCCTCAATTCCTCAGACATTGAAATCTACATGTACTTTATAATGAAGATAACTGCTACACATGACACATAAATCTCTTTTCAGCTTATGTAAGCTACCAAATCCGTCCACTAACTTCACTTCCTTCAGTACAAAATCCCAACTTCCACATATGCTTGATCAAAACTAATAAGCTATCACATTACATCAACTAATATGATCTCATAAACATAGGGGGAAAAAACTTTCCATACTCATCCAAAAATTCCAATTTCACCTTAAAATTAGTAATCACTATCAAATTTTAAATTTCCCTCCAATTTACTCCTAACAAACTATAAATCTTCCTACCATCAAATTAGTCCAATAAATTACTAATCATCCACAAAATAGCTCCATACATTGGCATAAATTAATCCAACTTTCTCAATAAATCCACACAAAGCCTCCAACTTCAATTGAACTTTTTTCTTTTTAATTTAACTAAACTGAGCTCCAAAAAAACATATGCCAACTAGTTTACTTAGTTAAAAGTCTATACAATCGATTCAAATCTCGTCTACATCATTGTCCGTTCACGGTCCCACAAAGTAGAATGATCAGAGAAAAAGTAATTAACAAAAACCAAAAAACAGTACCTTGCCAGAAACAACATCATTAGCAAACTGCCAAACACGATCAAGAGTATCATCAATCTGAGTCTTCAAAAACGAGGTAGGAGCAAGATTCGAATTTCTCAACCAATAATGACCCACCATTCTTCCTTCATCTGGGTTAGCAATGGCGCCATTTTCAAGCTCCTCCATATCCTTAAAAGCTTTCTGAAATCTGGGCTCCATTTCCTTCACAAATTCCTCAGTAAACCCAACTCTACTCACATCCAAATACAAGCCCAAATCTTTGTGTTGATACAACCACTCCACATATCGGGCCCACAAGGCCCGAGGGTCTTTCTCCAAAAGCCCATCTTCCTTCTTCTTCTGCAAAGATGGGAGATTATTGGTTGAGGAAGAAGATGAAGTAGAAAGATCAGCGGGTATGTCTCGGGCCACAGATGAAATGGGTTTGAAGGAGATTGATTTCGGGCCAGAAATCGGGCTTTTAGTGATGTTTGGGAGGTGGGAAATCTTGGGTTTGAGAGATGTTGATGAATAGAGATTTGAGAGTGAAGAAGCCATTGTTGAATGTTGTTGTTGTCGAAGAAATGTGGAGTGATGTAAACGAGGAGGGGAGGAGAGAGAAAGGGAGGTTTTTTAGGCCATTGGGTAGGTTGGTGGGTTGATATTTTGGTATGTGAAAAGACTGAAAAGTATGGTAATATTGTCTGAATTTGGAGTTCAGATTTACAGGGGGAGTTTTTTAATTTAGTGGCCAAGACTCCAGAGTGTCTATTATACACCCGAACGTACTTATATAGTATGTATATATCTAATTTTTTATAAATTATACTTGTATATAGGTATAAACTATGAATTAATTGGTAAGAAGGTGTTTTGTCGTATATTGATTATAACTGTACTATAGGTATAAATTATGAATTAATGGGTAAAAAGGTGTGTTGTTGTAAATTGATTATAAGAGCAGTCGAGTATATAATGAAAATTACTATGTAAGAGGTAAGGGACAACATGAGTTTGTGGATTTCAAAGGAGATTGGAGATTCTCTGGCTGCTTGTGAAGAGGAAAGGTTGTTGTTGTTTGAATATAATACAATTGAGAAGAAAATGGTGGGCTGAATTTGATTGTTTGTTTTCAGGTTGTTAGTGAATGATGAATGGTTAATGTAGCTATCATGTAGGATATTGACTTTGATTCCTTTATGCCTTTAGCCTTTCTCAACGGTCAATGATGATTTCATTTATTGATTTATTTCCCCTTTCTCTTTCTTATTCTCCTACAAATCTAAAGGGGGTTGCCCCATAATCGACCCGATATACACATATTGTGATATTCGATGGTAAAATAGGTAATTTTTAAAAACTTCTTTTTTAAAAAAATATTTTTTAAAAAACAAGACAAATCGATCTTTCACCCACTGCATCATCATCTTAGTCGGTGCCACCACCATCACAGCGAAACTCATCACATTCACCACAAATTCATCTTTTTCATGACATCTTCTACTTAACGTCATCTTCTTATTTTCTCAACAACAATAATAGAGCCCTAACACTTGTCGCTTTGCAGTAATGGAAAAAAGAAAAAAACAAACAAACATCCCTAGTAGCAAATAATATAAATAATGGTCATACTTGAACCATCAGGGAAAGCATCTCATTTGCGGTGCAATCTCTATCCCAACAACAATGGTGACTCATGGGGAAAAATGACTCGCATGGAGGAAGAAAGTGGAATTTTTAAGGTGTATTTTGAGCTACCTTGGTCATGGATGGACTAAAAATGGAGAAAGAACCAAAGAAAGAATTATATTTGAATAACAAATTTAGGGCCTTCAGCTTATTTTCATTTCAGTTCCTAATTTCATTCTTTCATAAAATATCCAGTTCAGTTCAGTAAATGAGGATAGACTTTTACTCCCAATTTCATTATTAAATGACTAATATAACCCTTGATATACCAGGCTAAATATATCCCTACCTAAGCTTTAGGATCTACACGGCAACAATATAGATTACTTAAGAGTATGAAGAATTAGGTTTTTTAAAAACTATTGTACTACAAATTGTACTTACCTCTGTTCTTTTTAGTTGACACGTATTCCTTTTTAGAAAGTTTATTTTTAGTTGTCACGTTCTTTTTGAGTAAGTTTTATACCTTATATTTACTAGTGTACCCCCATTACTTTATCATTCTTTTTCATCTCTTTAATATATGTGCTTAAATTGAACGTGTCAACTAAATAGAAACAAAGGATGTATTTGTTAGGGCTATGATCAAATGCTCCAATGAAGAAATAGAAGCTCACGAGCATATTCAACAAAGAGGAAGACAAACCTTACTCTTTGGGATTAACCATGCCTCTATTTTTCTTTCTCTTTTGAGTTGTCATTTCCCTCTATTTTTCTCCTCTTCTCATGCTTCATTATCTTTCTCCCTCCATTCAACACTCACAAACAAATTTTTCCCATGACTTTAGCTCATTTGTTGCACACTTGCACATACAATAAAGGTATCTAGATTCAATATACTCCCTCCGTTATATTTTACTCATAACAAAGGGGTATTATTTGTGAGACATAAAATATTTCTTTGTTGCGAGTAATATGTAACGGAGGGAGTAAATATAACAAGATCACGTATAGTATAACTAAGATTATAAGAACATTGTTATAAATTAAATAACGAAGTGAGTAATTGGCAAACGTCTTTGAATTGGATGTAATTTTGAATCTTTAGACCATTTGAGGGATGGACCATGAACTTATGTTATGGAGCATATCTAAAACTCTGGAAGACTGGAACTCTCAATAACATTTTTTTTAGGACATCCATTTACAGTACACGTATACTCTGCATTCCCCCAGAAATGCAAACCAAAATTATCTGCTTCACCTTCAATATCTTATAAACCCTAGACTAACCCCTTTTTCTATCTCAAAAACCCCCAATTCAAACAACATAATTTTGCAGATTCTGGTTTTCAGGATTATATATACAAGGAAAGACAAACAATTAGAAGCTTATCTTGCAAATTTTGAGGCAAAATGATGTGGGAAGAGAATCGGTTCGATGAACACTACAACAATGATGAGCAACAACAAGAATCTCCCTTCAATTTTGACTTTCTCTCTCTTCTTTCTAAACCCAAGGTATGTTGCTTACATTTTCAACTACCCTTTATTCTTTTCTCTAATCCCCATTTCCCCTTAATTGGTTCAACTACCCTTTATTTGGATGTCGACTAATTTAGTCGGTTAAATTTCCAAGATTTAATTCCGGTCTATTTCATTGTCATTTGTGGTTAAGAGCATCTTTAAGGGTGAACATTTTAATAGTTCACAATGAGTGAACAAATAAGGTGGTGGCTTAATGGCAAACTCTTTAATTGTTCATGTTGAGTGGTCATGAGTTCGATTGCAGGAGCAAGCACTTGCATGAATTAATTCGCTATGGGCCCGACCAATATTTTGGACTGATATTCATGCAAAACGACGTCGTTTTGCTGTTTCATGTTGCAAAACGACGTCGTTTTGCTGTTAAAGGTCAGAAAAAAAAATAGAAATCAGCGGCTGGGAGCGTGCCACTTGGCCCAGCCGCTGCTTGACACGTGTGTACTGTTTTAAATATATCCGTTGTAATTTTACAACGGATATATTTTACAAAATACAAATCAAAAAAAAAAAAAATTACCAACGACTCTATTTTTTTCCCCTCTATAAATAGACACCCATATTGATATACTTTTTTCAACTTTGAAAATTTATTTTTTTCTACTATATTTTTCTCTTCAAAAATCCCCTCTATAATTACCAATATTATTATTATTATTTATACCAATATTAATATTATTATTGTTATTATTATTTTAATTATTATCATTAATATTATTATTATCGTTACTATTATTTTTATTATTATCGTTATTATTATTATTATTATTATTATTATCATCGTTGTTATTATTATTATTATTATTATTATTATTATTATTATCGTTATTATTATTTTTATTATTATTGTTATTATTATTATTATTATTAAATTTTTATTTTTTCCAAATATAAATTATAATTATGGATATGGCATTCGTTCTTTGGGATGCCAGGTAGCTGCAACGATATTAATGTGCTTCATCGATTCCCTGTGTTCGAAGACATCTTAGAGGGTCGAACACCTCCTGTGAACTTCGTAGTCAATGGTCATCATTATACGAATGGGTATTATCTTACTGATGGAATCTACCCTAGATGGGCTTCTTTTGTGAAATCCATTACGAGTCCACAAACTCGTCAGGATCGTTTATTCGCAAAACACCAGGAAGCTGCAAGGAAAGACGTTGAACGCGCATTTGGGGTCCTTCAAGCTCGTTTTGCCATTATTAAAAAGCCGTCTTTGGCGTGGGATACCGACATACTCCACAATATCATGCTCGCCTGCATCATAATACATAATATGATCGTTGAAGATGAACGAGAGACGTATCAAAATAACGTTAATACCAATGAGTTTATGAATGCTGGAGGCAACGCTAATGAGGACACTACCGAGTACCGTACTGATCGTATTGTGGATATCGACTTATACTTGTCTCGTAGAACAGAGATTGAGGATCAACAGACTCATTTGCAGCTAAAAAACGACTTGGTCGAACATATATGGAATAAATTTGGTAACAACGAAAACTTAGGCAACTAGGTTTACAACAAATTGTTATCCCTAAGGACATCTTACAAAACGATGTGTAGTTGTTTTTTTTTTTTTTTAAATAAAATGTACTAGATTATAGTTGTAGAACTGTAATCACGATTTGTACCTCTTTTTTTTTTTTGTTAATTAAAATTAGCTGCGTTGTTGTTTAAAAAATATTAATCACAAGAATTAGTTTTTTAAAAAGCTGATAAAAAATGCGATAATTTCTTAATTAGTAATCACGATTAAAATATTAAATACGTCAATTAATTACATTGACATCGGGTTAATAAATTATAATTATGAAACAAAAAAGATTATATTTACAAAAATAAAATAAGGTGGGGTAGGGAGTATTGATGATGAACCATTGTTTAGTGTTCATTGTAAGAGTGAATATTGTAAATGGTTTGTTGGGTTGATGTGGATGAGAGAGAAATGGTGATAGTGACCCACGAACCATTTTTGTGTTCACCAATAATGATGCTCTAAGTGGCTCCCCTACACCAAAAAAATATTATCTTTTTTTAAATGGTAATAGTTCCCTTCTCCACCTTATACATGATTTTACTGGAATGATGTTGCTTAACTTCAATAATTGTTGCTGTATATCCTAGATTATTGGTGATTCATTTGTTTGATAATGGGGTTTTCTTGTTTGAGCTGGTATTAATGCTGATTTTCATGTTTTTTTTTTGATGAAAATGATGTTGTGTAGGATTCTAGTGTTTAAGCTGATTTTTATGTTTTTGGATGAACTTGATTTGTGTAGGACTATTATAGAATATTGGAAGTGGATTATGATGCTACAGAGGAAGCAATTCGGTCTAATTACATACGCTTAGCATTGGTTAGTGTTACTTTACTGTAAATTATGGTTTTGAATCCTTTAATTAAATCAATTTGTGGGTTTCATATTTTGTTCTTAAATGTAGATTTTGTCATTTGGTTTTATTGGGTTTTTAAATTAAATGATACTCCGTATTATTGTTGATTGCATTGTAGAAATGGCACCCAGATAAGCAAAAAGGGCAAGATGGTAGTACATCAAAGTTTCAAGAGATAAATGAGGCTTACCAAGGTTAGTGTTCCTTGGTCATTTGACTGTTGAAGTGTTTCATGCTTGTTAATGTTTTTTTAGGCTGAATTGTGGCCGTCTGGGAGTTCATTAACATGGTGCAACTTAGCTTACGTATTAGACAATCGCTTCTTTATGTTGGAATTCAATGTTGATGCTGTGGTTATTTGAATTATGAACATGGGGAAGACTGGAAGAGTGTACGTAGATGTTACAACTTTATTTGCATGTTTATTATTAGTAGTGCGACAAGTGTTCCCTGAAATTTTGCATTCGTTGCACAATGTGGTTGGGGATTTTGGAAGTGTTTGGGAGTCTCTTTGCTTCCAATGTCAGATGAGCCTACTCAGTCATAAGGCAATAGTATGGTCCGAAAGTTCTGGTATTAGCAAAGAGCACTTCATCTAAGGGGGGCTAGCATTTCTATGTATTGATGCCCTAGCCGGCTAGCCTGATTGGTGGTTGAGATGAGATCATTGTGGTATTCTTTTTTCTATTTATGAAATTTTTGATGCTATGCCTATTTGTGTCTTTTGCAAGAACTTATTTGGATGCATTAAGCTTATTAGAGGTCTGTTCCCGTGAATTTGTTCGGTGAGTATAACTGTATAAGGGTATCTACTATCTAATTGGACAATTCTGGTAGCTATTTGAGTTCCTGTATCAAAAGCTTTTGTCTATTTGGTGGAGCTGTTGGTGAATCCATCTAGTACTTCCTAATGGGATTTACTCATTTACATAACTTAAATTTCGGGTTTTATCTTGAAAATAGGGAACGATAAATTGAAGAACATAAAAGAAAAGCTTGTTGACTTTCATCTATCCCAGTATCCCTGTCAGTAGTCGTACTGATTTTATGATGAATTCCTCTTTGATGTTTTTTCCCAGTCTTGAGTGATCCCATGAAGCGGCAAGAATATGACATGAAAGGGATGATGACCTATGACTACAATGTAATGGTAAGAATGCTCTGTTCTTTGCTCCATTTTTGTAGTCATTGCCCACTTTCCATTGTTGGAGGTTTCTTATGAGTATATTCTTGTGCTGTAGGACTATCTGAATCGCTATAAAGGGCTTATATTAACGTGCAATGGCCTTGGCATGAAGCATTCTATATGGTAGATCTCCTAAACCCCTCAAATTAAAGCAAACATAAGAAATCTTAGAGAACTAGAGATCAAGGTATGTGATTCTGGTTCAGATGTAGCTGATGAAATGCAAACCTTATGCCAAGAGCCCAAGATGGGCGAAGCCTCAAGAATTAGAAGTCTGATTTTTTGTCACAGCACCGGAAAATACATGTATAGCTTAGCCATTTTCCGTGTAACATCTTGCGCTTGTCCTTTGTATGGGCTGTTGTATGAGGCACATTTGCTTATAAACTGGTGGATTCCTACAATTCCCAGTCTGCCGGAAAATTGTTTGATTGCGTTTTATTTCAATAGTTTTTGCTTGTCGCAACTGTATGGACCAAAGAAATAAAAGTTTTTGGAGAATTTCTTAAATTTTTATTTCAAGCAACTCTTCAAACCACATTGAAGTCAAAGTTTTTGAAGAATTTCTTGGCATCCCCACCTTTCGTTGATTTCTATTATCTTGATTTATTTGTGCTTGACTGTTCTACATAAGTCCCAATTAATATGTTTATATTTGCTGTTGGTGGATTATGAAGTGTGTCAAACGTAAATACTTTCACAAGTTCAGTCGCAATACTTTTTGAGAAGCTTTGAATGGTATGGATCCATAATAAATGTCTAAGCGTCATTCCTATATCCGTTTATGGAGTGAGTACTTGAATTGAAATAGAGTTGGGGCCGTAGGGGTACATCTTTTAGTTTATGATTGTGCCAATTTTTGTTGCATGTTTTTGAATGCGTAGTCTTTTAAAAATACTAAACTTGAAGATGGCACCACTATGACATTGCACTACATTTATTTGGGTAAACAGTTGGTAGTATTATCGAACTTACAGATAATAAGATTTGAACAATTCTCTTTAGCATCATATTCATTACATGATTAATGAAACTTGAGATTATGGCTAATTTAAGTATAGTAAAAGCCAAAATGTGCAAACATTGGCCTATTCTTGTAGCTGACCCTATGTGTTTGATACAAAACTGAAGTAGTCATATAAGTTCTAATTAGCTTTTTGTTTCTGGTTAACGAGCTCAAATTTAGAATAATGATCTCTGTCTGTCCCCCAAAGCCTCTGTTCTTCCTCCCTAAAGCATGAATGATTATTAAAAAATACTCCAAGTGAAGTATATAATTGGGACTGCATTTTAAAGTGGTCAATTTTCTACCATTACTTAATATTGAATAAATATCTATTATCGTCAAAAGTAAAGTGAGAGTGTACAAGTTGTAAAATTGTGAAAGAGGATTGATGCTTATTTGTTATTAAGAGACTATATAATATGAAGAACTGAGGAACCTTGAGGTTGTTTGGCTTCTAATGAAAAGTGTGAGCTGATGGAAATTTGTATATGATGTGCATTCTTGATGAAAGACGTGCTAATATTGCACAATGATCATTTGTCTATTAAACTTCTTCGTTGGTTGTTCAACCACGATGTCTATCAGTCTATGTTTGTTTTTTTTTTTTTTTTTTTTTATAATTTTTTTACAGCTAGTCTATGTTTGTTTACTCATTATTCTCATTTTCTGGCAGAAAACTGAGGGAGATTCTCACTTAAACTGACGTAGATTCGGAGTCTTCGAGTTTCTTTGATTGTTTTTTGGGAAATAAATGTATATTGCACTCAAAGTGAATTTGTTTGTCCTGTATAGCTAGCCTTGACATCAAGTACAATCTTGCTCATGAACTTCTTGTATTAGACTATCAATTGTTATCCTTGCTTTCAGATTATGTCATATGTATTAGACTATCAAATGTTATCCTTGCTTTGAGATTATGTTATATGCAATCTTGCTTAGTTGAGAACTTGGGATTCTGTTAAATATTGTACAATCTTGTTGATTGAGTTCAGGCAAGCTGTCATTTGTTTGGTCATGGTGTGATGTTGACTGTGGAACATGTAATTTGCTTTAGTATTTTCTCCGTCCAATATGAATTGTCATATTGATGGTGTAATTTAATAAGCTTTTACTCATATATACTTTCTCTGTTTCTATTCAGTTGATGAATTTAGACATATATTAAGGAGATGAGAGAGAATAATATCGCAACCGGGGTACACTAAAAAACCAAGGTATAAAACTTACCCAAAAAAGAAACATGTAAACTAAATATAAACTTTCTAAAAATGAATACGTGTCAACTAAAAAAACGGAGTTAAGTAGTTTCTAAAGTGTTCAAAATCATTAAAGACGAGTGAGAGAAAGAGAAAGCTAAGGGAAGGATAAACAAAGTAGAGCAAGAAGAGAACATTCGACAATTAATTTGCACAAGCTTATTTTAACAATCAATCAATGTTACCAATTAACCACCGTGGCGGTGTGACAATATGAGAAAGTCAACTAATTAGTAGTACCTTTAGAATAAAAATTTCAACACAACGATAGAATCGTGTAAGATTCATGAGAAAATAAATTTTTTTTAATGTTTGTAAAACAATAGTAATACTTAGTTTTAGAGAAAGAGAAAGAGAGAGAGAGAGAGTGTGTGGGGAGGGAAGCAGGAGGAGTAAGACAGAGCAAGAGAGGGAGATGAAGAGAGAAAAAGAGGACGATATAGTTGAGAGGGAAATGGAGAGAGGGGAGAAATAGAGAAAAAAAGAGGATGTGAGCTATAGAGGGGCCAATGAGAGAAGGAGAGGAAAGAGGAAATCAAGAAAGAAAATGACTGAAAGAAAAAGAAAGAGGAGCAATGAAAGATAGAAATGACAGTCCGAAAAAAGAGAAAGGGTATGCCACGAAAGGAAAGGGGTCGCAAGAGAGAGAGACAGGGATCGGGAGAGAACGTGGGAGAAAAAGAAGGGCTGGGAAGGAGTTGGGAGAAGAGAGAGAGAAAGAGGGGCTGGGAGAAGAGAAAGAAGGAAACTAATCCCTCTAGAAGAAGAGAAAGAGGGAAATTGATCCCTCTCTCTCTCTCTCGACTTCTCTATATCTACATGCATCTTTCTTCTGATCTGTCTCTTTCACTTTCAACTTTCAAAATTTATTTTATACAACATTCTCAATAAGTGTTTGTATTATATACAAAATGTTTATCCTTAAATTAGGAGTCTAACACCTATTTGTCTATGTTCATTTTACTTTGAGTAATGGTTGGTATTTTACATTAAATTGATGTAAGCAGCTTCCCTTTTACCAATCCTCTAATCGCACACCCATGGGTCAATCCTCCAATTGTCGTGATCGCACCATCTAGTTTGTCAATCCTCCAATCACCTTGATCGCACCACCCAATTTGCCGATCCTCCAATTGCATGATCGCAACACCCAATTTGCTAATCCTCCAATCGCCTGATCGCACCACCCAGTTTGTTGATCCTCCAATCGCCCTAATCGCACCACTCAGTTGGGGGAAATTAGCTACGATTGAAGATGAACAATTTGAGTTATTTTTTGGTACAAGACCTTTTAAGTTCAATTGTATGGTAATTTTAGTTCGGGACATTTTGGGTATCGGGTCTGTTCGGGTCAATTTCGGATGTCAGGTTTGTTCGGGTCGATTTCGGGTATCGGGTCTATCCGAGTCAAACATTTTGGGTCAATTTCGGGTTGGATCAACTTCGGGTCAGGTCAGTCGGGTGTCGGGTGAACTCCATTTTCAGGTCTATTCGAGTCGAACATTTCGGGTTGGATCAACTTCGGGTCAGGTCAGTCGGGTGTCGGGTCAACTCCATTTTTGGGTCGAGTCTGGTCAATTTTGAATTCGGGTAAATGTTTTTGGGTCAATTTCAGGTCATAAGTCGGATCATATGATTTGGGTCAGGATTGTCAGGCCTAATATTTAGCACCTACGCGAACCCTAAAAGGGCCCATATACCCCCAAAGCCCAAACCAGAATACCCTAAATCAATCCCTCAAAATCCACCGCCCCTCTGTCCCTCCTCAGCTCCTCTCTCCACTGTCTTTCTCTCTCCTCAAAATTCAACCCAAACCCCAATGCCCCAATCTCTCTTCAATTCTCTTTCATCTTCTCTATCAGATCTATCCTCCAATGAAACAATTGAATATTTTATTTTCCTAAAAAATCCTTATTTTCCATATTCAACGCAATGCAATGCCACCACTCCTTCTTCCCCAGATTCTCACTCTCTCTCCACCGTCATCACCGCCCCCTCTTCAGCCTCCATTCCATCAGAAAATCAAACCCTAATCCCAGAATTCTCCTAACAATGTCACTCTCTTCTTCATCTTCTTCAATTTCAGAGGAAGAACTCAAACAACAACAAAAATCCCACCATTTACAAACCCTACAATACCATCAACAAACCAAACACCATTTCACCAAATACGCAAAAGGGCCGGGTCGTTTAGATTGGGCGAATCAACCCAACCCGTTTCGAAGATACATAATACATTGATGCTCCATTAATTCCTCTCCAACATTTCCCAATTGAAGAAGCTGAAGAGCAATTGATAGAGCGAGTTTTTTGGGTGATTTTTGTGGTGGACTTGCTTGTCGGTGGGTTTTCCAGGTGGGGCTAGGATGATTTTAGGTGTGCGAGGGTTACACGGTGGTCTTGGTGGCTGAGGGTGGTCGTTGTGTCGACGACTATTTTCTAACCACCGAGCAAACCACAGCACGGGCGGTTGTCGTTGTGTCGATGGCTATTTTGGGTGTTTTTTTGGGCTTGGGCGGCTTGGGCTTTTGTATTAATTTAAATTTATTTGGGCTTGGGTTTTAAATGAGCCTCTTTCATGATTTGGGCTTGGGCGGCTTGGGTTTTGTATTAACTTAAATTTATTTGGGCTTGGGCTTTAAATGAGCCTCTTTCATGATTTGGGCTTGGGCTTTTGTATTAATTTAAATTTATTTGGGCTTGGGCTTTAAATGAGCCTCTTTTATGATTTGGGCTTGGGCTTTAAATGAGCCTCTTTCATGATTTGGGCTTGGGCTTCTACATTAACGGTAAACCGGTTTATTTTTTTTCTTTTTCTTTTGGGAAATCGGAAAAACCGGTTTCATTTTTTTGATTAGTATAAATAGTTTATCTGCTTAAGTTCATCAAATGTTCATTGTTTTCTTTCACAGTTCAACCCATTCCATTATTTTTCTTCTTGATTTTGCTTCTAAAATGTCTCTTCCCTGTGAAAGTTGCTCTAAAGTCCATGGATTTCTTGATTGTGAAACCTACTCTACTTGGTTAAGAGATAAGGTCAATTACGAAGGGTTTTGATCGGTTGAATGTCCCATCTGCATGATAAAAACTGGGTTTCAGTGTCCCATTAACAGTAGATTCTACTGCATTGAATGTAATAATCACTTTTGCAGGTAAATGTCTATCTTTTTCAATTTTGATTCTTGTTTTTTTTTTTGTTTTGTTTTGTTGTTGTATCTTTTTCAATTTTGATTCTTGTTTTTTTTTTTTTTTTTTTTTTTTTTTTTTTTTTTTTTTTTTTGTTTTGTTGTTGTTTTTAATGAATTAAGGTGTTGAATTTCCAGCATATGCATGAAAAGATTGAAGAGTAAAACTAGAAGGAATACTGTCAACAGTGAGATCAGTGAGGAGCCTCCTCATACATGTGAAGAGGTTAAAATTATTAACTTAATTTCCCTATATTTTGGCTTAATTTGTGTAATTTCTTGATAATTTAGTTACTTTTTGCAGACTGAATTTACCCAGAAGAGAAAAATCATCAGGAATTTATCCACTCGATTTTTTAGCTATTACAAGGCATGGGAAAACTTTGACAAGGTAATTTTTCTTGGAGTATAAAATTGCATACTGTTATTTTTCTGTGATTGTTCTTGGAGTGTTGGGTAATTGATCTTGGATATTTTCATATTTTCTGTCAGGAAATGTTTGAATTGAATTCGGATATGGCTGTTATTCAGAGTTTGCCGGAATCGGTTGGGTTTTTTCCTGTTGAAATAAACAACCTCAGTAGCTACCTTACTTTGGTAACATTTTTACTAATTTCTTTATTATGTTGTTTTTTTTTTTTTCTTTCTAAGTATTAATTTATTTTATTTTATTTTTATGTATTAGGTGACACAATCACTAGATATTTTGAAATCTTCATACATATTTGCATACTATCACCAAAGACTGCAAGGGGAGAAAGATGTTAACAAGCTGCAATATGAAATAGAGAAATGCTGTATGTCCATTGTTGATCTTGTGAGAAGTTTGTCTGCTGTTGATATGAAGGCGGAAGACGTTAAGAAACTCTGGATCTTACTTGAGAATCAATGACAAGAAATAAAGGATGCAACTTCGACATTAATAGATTTGCTGCAAGGAAATGTGGGGGAAGGTATAATTTAATCAGTCATCACTGGTTTTAGGCTTATTTAATTAAAACATATTTTAAACTGTATACATAATTATTTCAGGATTGTCCAAAGGAGCATCGACTTGAAGGAACAACTTGGTTGGAGAATAGCATTTGTTTAAAACATTGATGGCTGAATTTTGTAATATGTTGTAATTGAATTCGTAGTTGGTTGATTGTAATTGCGCTGGAGAATAGCATTTTTTTGAAACATTATTGCTGAATTAGTTATCCGTTGTAGCCTCTTAATTGAATTCTTTTGCTGGTTTATTGTAATTACGCTGGATTTTGTATCCATTAATGCGATGTTGAAGCTGTAAAGATTTTTTTAATACTTTTCGTTGCTTCATATTTCAATGAATGTGCTTTTGTTCTTACTTACATCTGATGTCAATTTAATTGCATTATTTGGTTTGAAGTTGTCATATTGCTTCGTATGCTGTCTCTTAATTTTGTTCTGCTGGTTGTATAACTAAAGAATCAGTCAACAACCAGGGAATTAAGCTATTAGGTCTTTGAATTCGGTTTTCTGGTCTGATTCAAAGTCTTAAACTTGCCACTCCTGGTTTCAGACGAGCGTGAATACAATAAGAGATATTCCAACTACAAGGTAATGTACACTAGCTGCCTTTGAAAGTTTAAAACTACTGCTTGCTATCACTTGGTAGGGAAATAGAATGGAATTGTTGGCCTTTCTTTTGTCTTCTTTTTATTGTTGCATGCTCATGATTGAGAAATAGGAATGCTTAATCTATCTCCATTTGTTAAATCAATTTAAATATTATTATGAAATCTGTAGCATTAGGCTTAAGCTGTATACCTCTTCACCTCAGCTCCTCTCAATAGCTCCTTGATGCTTTAGTTAATTTTACAGGGTTTTAGCTTTTATAGAAGTTAACAGAATTTTGATTTTTGATAGATTTTTTTTAAATTTACAAGTTGTTTGCATATTTGAATATAGAATCTCAGCCGCGTCGGAACAGCAGCAGCTACCCAGCAATGAGAGCACCCCTTGCCAGGTGCCAGTGGGCCAAATGTCATCAGATGAGCTGTGGTAATGTTTTTATTCATTTATAATATTAGCGAATATCAATTTTTCAATCCAATTATGTCAGTAAAGTCAATATAAGCTTCTGCTATCGTTTTAGCAGCTATGGTGATGGATCATCCAGGGCCAAGCTTACTGTTATTGCATGTTATTGTTGGTCAGGAGGAAGCTTCTGAAGAGACTGTAGAGAGGTTGCAATCGACAGGAAGTAAGCAGGACCTTGCTCTCTTATGGATACACAGTTAGGTTTTTGCAATACAATTGCTCTGTAACACCTCTTGTCAAAGTTGAGGATTCAAGGACTCTGGATGTAGCATATGATATGGACCTAAGTTTCCTGGCAGGACCAGCTAACCGAGGTATGTTTGGATTCTCATTGATATGTTGATTCGTACATCAGTTTGGTGATGTTGGGAATGACATACGGCTATCTGTTTCTGTTTCTATCCATGGGTTTCTTTGCTTAAATAGATTACCTGTCAACATGTTGGTTTCCAATTTGGAGAATTTATACCCTTTTTTTTTTTATTTTTTTTTATTTTTATTTTAGATTATGGGATTTTTTGGGGAAATTGAAAGAAACTCGAGTTTGGTTGTATAAGTTGGATCATTGATTACTACTAACAGCAAATTTTTGTTTTTCTTACCTATAAATTTATAGTATTTAGAATTGTGATTGTTCCTTTTATTAATAAAATGAAAGTCAAAATAGCAATAAAATCTAAGGACACTTGATATTTATCCAATAAAAAAGCATACGTTCTGTATACTGAATGTGATTTTTATCTCTTTATGCATTTGAAAATTTTGATTAGTTTAATTTTGGGGCATCAAACTGTTGACTGTGGTTGATGTTAGTGTTTGATGATAGTTGATTATCCTTTCATTTGCTATGTTTAATGATTGATTTGAGGTAGGCCTTAGTATGATTCATAAGAGTTGAGATTGAGCCTTTGAAATGTTTGTTTTTATTCTCAGTAGTGATGAGGATTATTTTCTTAGTCTTTAATGGTGCAGGTGGGTTAGGATGGTGATTATGGTAGTACTGAGGGTTGGATAATGCCTACATGCCCTTGAGTGATCTGGTAAAGGAACTGGTGGAAATTTATGATCTTTATAATCCTTGAGGGGAGAGATTGGGTATAAGGAAACCAGGAGTTTAGGGTAACACAACTCATGAACCAGTAAATTATGAGCAAGCATCTCAATATGAAGAATGGAGAGCTGCTATGAAAGAAGAAATTCTCATGATTGAGAAAAATCAAACTTGGGAATTACAATATAAACCACCTAACAAAGATGTCATTGGTGTAAAGTGGCTATTCAAAACAAAACTCAGATCCAAATGGCTCAATTTAGAAGCACAAAGCCAGGTTGGTAGTGAAAGGATATTCACAACAATTCGGCATCGATTATAATGAGCCTCCAGGTTTTGTAGTGAAAGGTAAAGAAGATAAAGTATTGAGGCTAAAGAAAGCTCTATATGGGCTCAAGCAAGCTCCACGAGCATGGTATAGTCGAATTGATGGTTACTTTATTCAACGAGGATTTAAAAGAAGTCCTAATGAAGCAACATTATACATAAAAACGGACGGGGCTAATGTCATAATCTTATCACTTTATTTGGATGATCTAATCATTACAGGAAACAATCCAACTATGATAGAAGCATTTAAGCAAGACATGATGAAGCAATTCGAAATGACTGATCTTGGTCTAATGAATTATTTTCTTGGCATGGAGATTAAGCAAACAGAAGATGGAATTTTTATAAGTCAAAAGAAATATGCTGAAAACATCTTAAGAAAGTTTAAGATGGAAAATTGCAAACCAGTGTCCACCCCTTTAGCTCAGAATGAAAAGTTAAGCAAGGAAGATGATTCTGAAGATGCTGATGTCAAACAATATAAAAGCATAATTGGAATTTTATTAAGACCAGATATGATGTATGCAGTAAGCATGCTAGCAAGGTTTATGCAGAAACCAAGCCAGACACACTTACAAGCGATCAAGAGAGTTCTTCGCTATCTAAAAGGAACCTCGGATTATGGAATATGGTACAAGCCCATCAAAAATTCTGAACTAGTTGGATTTTCAGATAGCGATCCGATTGGGCTGGATCCATAGATGATATGAAAAGCGCCGCCATTCGATTTATTGACCTAGAGCCAACCTCCTCCGTTCGTCAACCTCCATGGATGTTGCGCTTCATAAAGGTACGGGAATAGGTTTGGGAATTGGGTTTAGGGCTTGAGGGTTGGGTTTAAGGACAGGAATGCGGTCGCCAGAGATGAATGGGGGAGGTGGTCTCCGACCACTTGAAGGTGGAGGGGGCTGGGTCGGGGGGAAAAGGGAGGGTTAGTGGTTTTGGGGGGTCATGTGCAAATCACGTGGTCGAGTCAACCCCGGAAAACAAGGTTAAAGTCTATTTTCCGAGGAAAGGTGTGGCCTTGCAAAAAAATTTAGATTAAGGTGTGTTTTTGCGAAAAAAAAAAATTATAAGGTGGTTTCCTGCAAAAAGGTGGTTATAAGAGGTGGTTTAATGCAAAATTTCCATAAGGACTTTTACATTATTCCCTTAATCTTCTTTGACCATCATTTATGATTTATACATTAGGAAAAATATAATCATGTGGGATCTAGTTAGATTCGTATCGAACTCTACTTTTCAAATATCAAATTTTTATAATTTTTACAAAAATATATATATATATATATTACTGATATACGAAAAATATATCACACATATATTTTTCTATATCTCATATTTCTAACAGATATACATATTTGTGATATCTTAGATTCTTAGGATATAATAATGTTATCTATTGATAGTATTAGAATATTATCTTGTTATAATTCCTAGTTTTATTAGTGTTACGTTGAGTTGTTATGTATAAATAGTGTATTGATTGATGATAACTAACAATGACAAGTTTTGCTATTAAACCTATGCTCTACCCCAAAACTATCAAGCATAATTACTCGATTGAATAATGTCGTGGCCATCGTATGATGTTAAGAAGTTATTGTCACCCGATGATCTAGGCGTTAAAATACCTTGCAACCATAATCAATTTTTGCCTTGTTCTTCTTCCTCAAAAGATTTTCAAAATTCGACTAATCTTTGAGAACCACGAACGCTTAATTTATCATAATAAGAATGGTGAACAATTATTGAGTTTACGCTATTTACATAGCAAGAAGTACCTCTATGCTAATCCTTTTTGCTGTAGTTGCCTGATTGATATCGTAAATTTTCTGCGTGACAGTTATTTTGATAAAGGCATGTATTTTACAATTGAAGAATTGAGGCCAGAGATAGAACGTCTTAACAACGAGGCATGGGATAAATTACAACAGTTCAAACAACAAGAGGATACAGATGATGTTGAGATGATATATGATTACAAAACCACTTTTATCAATTTAACTCGTAACAAGTTTTGTAATGCAGACGAGTTTAGAGCGTGGACCGTTGCCGGTAACCATGTCTATCGCTATAGAGGATCAGTTATAAAGGGATTGGTAAAGGTTATCACTGAAAAGGAAGAGCTCGACCCGTTAAATTTTTTGAAGCCGTGGACATTCGATAACAACGCTGATAAATATCTTTTTTGGAATAAGTTACCGAATATCAACTATATTGATAAAACTTGTGCGATTTGTCTTGAAGAATTGTTAAGGTCGGACATTCAAATGTATGATTGCGAGGCTTATTCTAATCGTAATATTCGTAATTGCTTGTTGGCAGTTGAAGAGTCGCTTGGATCGATTGTGAAGTTGCCGTGCAACTTGCATATGTTTCATGAGCCTTGTATTCTCAAATGGCTTTATGAAAATCCATTTTGTCCAATGTGCCACATTCATATTGATGTGCCGTATCGTATTAGTCCAAATTTGAGATTACAAGATTTGTGATTTATAAAGAAATATTACAAGTTTCATTTGTCCTATAGGTCATACAAAGTATATGATATCAATAAAAATTTCTTTTATCTTTGTATTGCACTATTGCTGTACAACATACTTTTTTTTTTTTTTTTTTTTTTTTTTTTTTTTTTTTTTTTTTTTTTTTTGCGCTATACTTGTGTTAGTGGCCTGCGTAAGTGCCTAGTGTAAATAATTTGAACTTAAATTTTTTCTTACTTGAGAGATACATATTGTAGTATTTATATATGAGCGCATTAGTGCATAGGTATGTTAATAATGTAATCACAAATGCTAGATTCAGTTTAAATGATTTGAAAAACAAAAGTAACATTCATTAATATGAACAGAATCAGAATGCAATTGACAGTAATTGACATCTTTATTCAAACATAAAATCACACCCATTAAATACTTTTCTGTTTAAAACATTGATTTTAGAAGATTGCTAGTGCTATTACTAGAGACTACTAGGACTGATACTTCATATAGTATTAAGCAGCTTCTTAACACCTTAGAGGTGTCCACCCTCAAACTTGAAACCCTGAGGCATCAAACCCGGATTGGTTATACCTCCTTTCGAATCCTCCATCATTGGTGCTTGATGATACTGATTCATCACGGCGAAATTAAAAACCCCCATCCTCTGAGACAGATTAGAAAAATGGGAAACATCTCGACTACCTTCCAAATCAAATTCATTCATCATATGAACCTCATTCATGAACCTGAACTTGTAGCTCTGAGAAACATCCACATTCGCAACCTTATCCTCCCCTGCTATGAGATGGCTGCTATTGCTCATCATCCCTAGCACAGGATTCTCAAAATCGCGAACATTATTGTCCCAATAATCCATATTCCCAATGGTACTAGACCCCGAAGAATTGCAACCTACATCATTGCTCAAATTTTGATTAGTGTCTAACTGATCAATAACAACATTACCTGCTTGACAGGATGAGTATAGCAAAGAGTTCTCTGTTAGCTCCTCGGCTTTCTTAGCAACATTCTTCCTAAGTTCCATAAGACTCGCCTTGAACTGTTCGAGTTCACACAATCCCATCTCATCAACAGCAGCTTCTTCCCACCAGTTTCCACACCCTTCATTTGTATCACTTGACTGACAGTTCTTCTCATCATCAGCAGGCTCACCCACCTTTTTTTTCTCCACAACATTACGATTCGTAGCCCTCTTTTTCTCATCAGTCTTTCTCTTGATCTCATCGCGCTGTCTGTTCTGCTCATCCACCATCAAATCAAACCCAGCAGGCTCATCATAGAAGGACCCAAGATTCAGGTAACGACGAATGATGTTGTCAGAGTTTGGATGACCAAAGCAGAACAGCTTGCCCCTCTCAGAGAAAGTCAAGACTGCCATTTCCACCCCACATAGTGCACATAACTCGCTTGCTTTCTTGAACAACCCTAGACGTCTTTTCGAGAACGTAACATGTTTTCTAGTTTGGTCTGCTATTCTCTCTATACGGATCTTCCTTCTTCCATTGCTTCTCGTCCTGATTACTTCCTTCTTACCATCCTCTGTCTCCTTATTGTTGGCCATTAATAATGATGAAATATGATTGAAAAAAAAGAGAGAGCTGTTTGTTATTATTACTTAGGACTAGCTTAATTATTAATTTTACAATGTCATTAACTCATTTTATATAATGTATCACATTAGAAGATCTCATCAAAGAGAATAAGGAGCATCCTGTTATTGATTACGTAATATTTTCCATATAATTCATTCAAGATATTTGGGATTTTTTTTGGAAAAAGATTTTATTATTGCATAATTATTTTCAGTATCTTGTTTAAAAATAAAGTTGCTAAATTAGTTATGATTTGATGAGTAGATAGATCATGGATGGATGGTAATTATACTCATATATTGGGTGATTATATATGTTGATATTTTAGTCTTCAAAATTATCTGCTGAATATTTCTATTTTCCCTGTGAAGATCAGTAATAAAAGATGTATGTGGACTCTTCACTTAAATGTGCAACTAGTGAAAATGTGAAATTAATTTTAAGCGCCCAATATGGATGGTCAGGATGGTAGATCAATCTAAACGGTAGTAAAAGTCAAACCGTGGAAAAACAAAAGGGATGAAAGTCAATAAGAGTGTTTGGCAATGTAGCATTTAATGGCACACAATTACACATAGCATTTGAGTATATTTATCACACCTTATTAGATGCATCATATATCAACGGATAAAGATCACATATACCTTTTGTCCATAATAAGTCCATACTTTGTATATAACAAATACGAAGTATAAGGTCTATTCAGTGAATTTTTCTTCTAATATATGGTTATATATTAAGTAATTTTTTTTCATTTTAAATTAATGATTTATGTGGTACATATCCTAATGAGGATTACACAGTCAATGAAGTATAATTAGGACTTAAGAGCTAGCTATTGTTCATTTTATTTCTTTAATCGGTATCTGAAAGTTCAAACTTTTGTCAAAAAAAAAGTTCTTGGTCAAAAAAAAGTTCAAACTTTGTCCCTAAATTGTTCATTTAAAATAAAATAAAAAAAAAACATATCATTTTCGAAGTGTGAGTACAGTATTACGTTTTAAAATAGTGTAGCCAAGGCACAAGGTTAATACCCTAAAATTTAAAAAATACTTTATATAAAGAAGAGGATATATATATCAAGCAAAGGATCGGATATACAATAACGGGCAAGATATAGATATAAAACTTTTTTTTTTTTTAAAAAAAAAAAAAAACTCTGATTATATTCTAAACAATCGTTGACAAAATCTTCTAATAAAATCATTTAACTTATTCTAACACAGAAATGGTTTAAGATTAGACTCAGTCCAAAAGATCATTTACGTTAAATCTCATCTGCAGCCTCTTTTCTCAAGGAATGGATGTCACTAATCCCAGACTTTTTTAGAAAACCATAGGAGCAATGTGCTCAACCACCTCTCCAAACATTCTCGAGAAGAGATTTAGGCTACCAGAGACTGCCGAGAGGATAATAGAGTACTCACAATGACAGTGCATTAAAATGAAGAGAATATGCCTGAGGATGAATCCTTCGACACTTTCAAAACATTTTTATTGGAAATCACTGATACGGACTACTGATACTACTTGTGTAGAGATGACAATAAAATCGAGAAAAAAGTTGTTCCTGTAAAATTTTAAAACAAAACTATATTTGATTCAAGCTATGCTTGATTTGTATCTCATCTCAACATATGAAGCAGATCAACCAGCAACTATATGGACCTGTGTCTTGGTATGCCTCTCAAAGCACAAAACTTTTATAAAAACCAGATAAAAGCAGAAAATGCATTATGAACTATGAAGGTCCAAATGAAACATAGTTTCATGAGCGATACTTGAATCCATGTAACAAGTTGACGGCAGTATCTTCAAACAAGAAACGAAACAATTAACACAACCTATTAACCACATTCACCAGCGCTTTACATCCTCTATGATTCATCCAATTGATCCTGCATATATATATATATGAAACATGGTTAGACAAACTAGGATTCCCAATTCTATTAGTTGCAGATTATTTAGCAATATACACAATTGTTGAAGATAAATTTACACTAATATACTTTCGTATACTCGTAACCAATAATGAAGCATGTGAAAGTAGAGTTTAGCATAGCTGTACAGACCTGGTCTGATGTCCAGAGGGTGAGGTTGTCCCTCAGAAGTTGCATGATAAGAGTGCTGTCCTTGTAAGATTCTTCACCCAAAGTATCCAGCTCTGCTATGGCTTCTTCAAATGCCTGTCAATATTTATAAAATATAGCGAATTATTATTAGATACACTACCACATGGAAACTGTCAAATTGAAAGTATCAATATATAACCAATTTAAGGCAACATCTAGAAATAAAACTGATTAATATAAACAGGCATCCACAAGCTAAGCTAAAATACTGAAAATACATTCAAGGTTCTCAATACAAATATCAAATCATTACACATGCAATTGGCTCCAATTTGGTGACCAAAACTCACAACAAAATTAATTTCATAGAGAACAAAATTAATTTCATAGAGATATTTACATTCAAAGATCTCAATTCATCAAGTCGAAAACCCTGCAAATGCATCCCAAATAACCATTCGTATACATATAAACCAAACATAAGTTAAGCCATTTTTCAGGTTATGAAAGCTATGGCATCTATACAACTTTCATACAAATAGACAAAAACCAGCTAACAGAGAGCACAATACCATCTTAACATCAGAAAATCAGAAACTACACCCATTGATGCAACAAACAGTTAGAAAGGTGAGAGTGGGAAGAGAGGCATCTTCGTCATATAATGTTCTGTTTATCAGGCACTTCAGGATATTTATATGACTGACGAAATAACTCTAGCAACCAGATAATTCTCCTAAGAACAATAAATATTTAAGTTATATACATGGGGATTAGCTTAATTACCTGTTTGGCCATGCTACAAGCTTTATCAGCAGAATTGAGTATCTCATAGTAAAACACTGAGAAGTTGAGAGCAAGACCCAATCTGATGGGATGAGTTGGTGGCAAATCTGTAAGAGCAATTTCCTGGAAGACGAATTTAAAAAAAGTCAGATAAAAAGCTCAATACCATACTTGCTACTTAAAAGACGTCAAAGCCAAAACCACAGTGGCGAAGAAATATCTTCTGAATTCCAGACAGCGATAATCAGATTGAAATACATGAGAAAATAGCCACAGGAAAGCTAGACTGGATACTTCATATTTTTATCTGCATATGCAACCCCTACTATTGAAACATGTCAACAGATCAACAACATACAATCTCTCAGATCCAAACAGCATAAACCCATACACCTCCAGAACCCCTTTATTTTATACCACCACAGAGATCAATTAGACATGTGCAAGACAGATCTGTCAAGCCAAAGCCAGAGAAATATATGCAACTCATATTTTTTCTTGACACAGATTTCAAAATAATATGCAAAGACATTGATGACCCAATAAACACTCCTACACAAATCTTATTTCTAAAGAGTCAATGACTGAAGGCTATAATCCTGGTAGCAAGGATCAATGGTTACATCACAAACCCTCCATATCTGCTTTCTGCTGATCATAACACTCCTAAGACGCCAATTCAGCTAAACTTGCAGATTTTTAGTACTGAAAGAGGCCTTCAAGATAGACTCTAATCAAATTATGCCAACAATTCCAGAAAAGCGATAATCAAATCCGTTACTCAATAATCAATACTGCCTCACTCTATCCTTGCACTCCACTTCCAAGATAAAACGAGCGTGAGCTAGTATACTACCAGTACATTAGTATTTAATACGGAAACAAATCTTTGAATTAAAGTTCATCTAATTCCTGAGAATCAACAATCCTGTTCAAAAAATACCTCACTTCAATCTAGCTTTCAAAGCCATTAAATCAAAATATTCTTCTCACCAACATTCTCATCCTTATTCTTCATTTCAACTACAGTACAATATTCAGCCAACACATATTGTATCCACAACACATCAATATTCCTATTAAACTGCAGGAATGTTCTCAAATATCCAAAATAAATCCAAATATTCCAATTCAAACTGCAGAAACTTTCTCAAATATCCAAAATACATCCAAATCCCTATTAAACTGCAAGAATTTTCTCAAATATCCTAAATATACATCCTATAAAACTGCAGGAATTTTCGCAATTATCCAAAATACATCCAATATATCCATAATATTCAAGTATCAAATCTCAGTCATTCCATCAATATACTCTTTTCAGTAACTAATCAAACAGCATTAATCACTCATTCAGCCATTGTTAGCAAGAATCTCAGTTATTCTTCCATACCTCAGCATATAAAGCAGCAAAATCAAGCATAAATTCAAAGATTCTATCAAAAGAATAAAGTATTACACAAAAAATAACATATACAAATCGAATTAAAACTTTTAGGTCAAAATCAATTCAGACAGATCTCCGCAAAATCGAACATCTAAACCCTAAAAAAACGGCAAAAAATCAAAAAAATTAAAAGAAAAAGCACACAAACCTGAGCAGCTTTGTAAGCATTCATAGTATCTTCAGCAGCAGTTTTCCTTTCATCACCAGATTTAAACTCAGCCATATAACGATGATAATCTCCCTTCATCTTCAAGTAGAAGACTCTAGATTCACTAACAGAAGCAGTAGGAGTGAGATGAGAATCAAGAAGCTTGAGAATACAAGCACAGATATCAGAAAGCTCAGATTCAACTTTTCCACGGTAATCCCTAACAAGAGCGACATGGTCGTCGTTCTTGCGACCTTCTTCTTTCTGCTCAATGGAGGAGACGATGCGCCAAGCAGCACGAAGAGAACCGATGACGTTTTTGTAGGCGACGGAGAGGAGGTTGCGCTCTTCGACGGTAAGTTCGCTGCCGGAAGAGGTGGTGGTGACGACGAGTTTGTCCATGTATTTCGCCATTTCTTCGTAGCGTTCAGCTTGTTCGGCAAGTTTCGCCATGTAAACGTACTGTTCTCTGGTAAGGTTGTCTGGAATCGCCATTGTTGAGAGGTTGAAGAAGGAGGAGGAGAGAGAAAATGGTGGTTTTTTTGGGGGGGGGGGGGGGGGGAAAGGGGGCGAGGAAGAAGAGGAGGTTTTGGTTTTATGAGAAGGGTGAGAAGAAGAATCTTGGAATGTGGGCCGTTTTTTAAGTATGAGGTGGAAATAGAGATATTAAAGGGGAAATAAAATATTGTCAAATTGATGAAATTGTTAAGCAAGTTGTGTTGCATATGAAGTAGAAAATATCACAAAGGGGTGGTGAATTTGATGATTGAGGGATGTGCAAATGTGTAGGTGGATAATTTTAACAGTGTTTGTGTTTTTTTTTTTATTATTATTATTATTATTATTTATTCTAAATGGAAATATTATGGGAGTATATAGATTATTTAGGCCCCGTTTAGTTTACTTGATTTTTGTTTATTTGATTTGATCTGATCTGATTGTCTGATTTGACCATTCTTTGACTTGTACAATAAATCAATCTTTGACTTTAAATGTACAATAATCTATAAGGTAAAAATATATCAAGTGAGATTTTATGTGATTTTTAATAATGTGTATTTAACTATTGATTAATCCGTAATTTTCATAACTTTTTTCATTACGAAGTTAAAGATATCCAGCGATAAAAACAACTACACATAAAACGATGATCTGTTCTGAACTTATTTTTCCTGATCTAAACTTATTTTTTTCCTGATATCCAGCGATTGAGGACGGTGAAAAAATTTCAATGCATAGATTTGATTTTTTACAATTAAAAATTTTAGATCAATTTCACAATAATTTTTCACTTCGTGGTAAATATATATATTGATTTATTTACAAGACTATAAAGATTAATTTTATATAAATTTATTTTTGCTAACATGTTTTATTTATCCATTTTGATTAGATGGAAGAGATATGGGTGTGAACGAAGTTGGTGATTCTATCAAAATAGAAGATAAATAGTATACATGTTTTTAATATTTTTTTTATAATATTTTTATCTTTTAAAAAACAACAAATAATGATTTAGGATTTAAATTATTTAAAAATAAAAAATATCTTTTCACATTAAAGATTTTATCCTAATATGTAACCGATAAAATATTACATTTACAATTATTATTTTTGAAAGATATCATATTTACAATTTAATCATATTTTTAAATCCAATTGTTATATAATTAACAACCACAATAAAATACAAAACAACAATAAATAAAGTCGCGTTAAAAATTACATTTAAAAAAAAATTTGTAATAGGCAATAACACTTTAATTAAAATATTATGTGTTTTTTTGTCTGAAATTATTAGATAGTAAAATAAATCAAATAATTAAAAAAAACATAGATTCGATACAAAAATATATTTTCTTGAGATTTATATATGAAAAAACCGTGCATGGCACGGGATCTAACCTAGTTATAATCTAAGGCTATCCTTATGTTAATAAAAAAACAAAAACTTCTGAAAATTTTAATTACAGTAAAAGAGTTTCCTATAACTATCAATACCACACAGTGACACAATACAGAATCGACCAACATCAAACTAATTAGGAGAAATCCCCTTTATATTGCAAGATTAGCAACTGTACAATTAGTAGAGCAAGAAATTAAATGTAGACTCTATAGAATTATTTAGGTGTAGTTGGCAGGTTGATTATTATTTAGATGTAACTATGTATGTAATAAACTAATACGGAGTAACTAATAATTAAAGCACCAATTTTGTAAGTTGCATTGTAATATAAGTAAATCGTGTTCATTAATCATATATTAAAAGTACAGTGTAAATCGCATGCATATATTAACTTGTTTTTAAACACAGTACAAGTCCAAGTATACAGGAAAATCATCATCAAAATCAAAATCATGCTTCATTCGTTTAAAAAAATAATTAAAAAAAAAACCTCAATTATAAAATTACCGAAATAATCAAATGAATTGCCCTAAATTGTACCACAAATCTTGCTTATAAATCTAGATTAAACATAAATCATACATTAACCGAATTCCGGCAAAAAGGACAAACATTATTTTTATACAGCCATCTAAGTATACAAGGCTCATGAAACACATGCTCGCAAGGCAACTTCCCTAGAGATTTTGACCACTTCTTTATAAAACTAACAGCCTTATAATCTTCGCCTTCTTTGCTGTCCGTGGTTTTCAATTTTTGTAGACATATACCACACATATCCTCTCTTTTCAAAAACGCACCAACATCATCATCATCAATACTAAGGCTTTGCAACCCCTTGATAACTAGTATTTTCTCCTCAAAGACACGGTCATTATTGGCAGCAACACACGCCTCGAACTCGTCTTCATTGCAAACTCGATCAGAAACAATACGATCAAGCCTTATATCAGGAATTTCAATCTGCTTTAGAATATTACCTTCATGTTCGATACTTTGTCCTCCTTGTTTCTTAAGAGATTCAACTTCTTCCCATATTTCGTACCTTAAAGTATTCAACTTTTCCATCAACCAATCACCAACAAAAATGTTTTTCTTAGAGGCTACAAGATCTTTAACGATATCTACGTAACACAATATGCAAAATGGGTTAATCATTAGACCTTTCTTTGGAGGTAATTTTCGTTTGATCACCATTCGTCGACCATTAGTATGATAATAAACTAAGTTTTCGTAGTAATCGTAGTTTAAACTAACTTCGAATCTTGTAGAGGAAGTACACGAGTCATCGCCTGGTGTGGGATTGATTATTGTATAATCGTCATGGCTACAAGGAATTACGATACCAAGATTGTGAAGCTCTTCATACCAAGCGATTAGACCTCTTTTTCCTTCCATACTGATTAACCCTAGAGAAATTTTGAGGAGAAATAGTGTATGTCTAGTTTAGGTTTTTTAATTATCAAATTATTATGTGCAAACAAGAATTAAACCCGTATATATACACAATCTAGATAGCTCATGTCCTAAGCTTGGTAGTATTCCTAGGTAAATCGGTACAATTTAGGAAACTATTGTACGGAGTAGTAACTAACTGATAAAAAAACTTTATGCATATACTATTCTGTCAATAAAATAAAATAATTAAATAAACAATTAAATAATACAAACCGCCCTACAAAAGTACGTAATGTATGGGCCGGGGTTTTTTCAGAATTTCTGGTACTCCTTAATTGTACCTTAATTCATTAAGCTAATTACATCCAACTTTTTTAATCTTATGCCTACCCCATTATGTATAAGTTTCTAGTTTTGTAAGGTGAAGGAAAGCTAAATACCTCTATCTAATGAGTTTACTGAACTATACAATCTCCTCTGTGAAATTTTATGCACGTTTGGTTTAAAGTTGGGTGAAATTCTATCCATGGGTTGCCACATTTTTATTAGAGGTGATCATTGGGCGGGGCGGCTTCGGACTTTTCCAAGGTAAGAAAAATCAACCCATTTTTCAGGACGAGTCAAATTTTGAGCCGAAAAGTTTGTGCCCAAACCCGTCCAAAATGGCTGGTTCGTGCGGCTCTTTGGGCCATTTTCATTCGGACCTGGCAAATTATAAAACCAACTAAATATGCATATATAAAACCGTCTTCCCAAGCCTGCCCAAAATTTTTGAAAAATTGGACCGTGCTAAAAATTTCTGCCTAAAATCCAAAACCCGTCCAAATTTGGGCCGGGCCAATGGGCCGGTCCACCTTTGATCAGCTCTAGTTTTCATCCCTAGTATATCATCCATACTAAGGTACGATCCTATAGAACAAAATATGTTCAAGTAAGGTTGTACATCAACTATTCTAGTATAAATCATCTAAGCCAATAATCAACTATGATGATCAAGCAATCATGTTATAAAACTGCAAATCACAAGGACTATTAAAAAATATATATACAATACGTACCATAAATGTAAAATACATATAATCACAAAGTTTAATTAAAAGAACAACCCAGTATTTTTATTAAAAGGTTGGATTTTTATTTTCCATTTTTCCTATAATTAATTAAAACTAGTATGATCAAAGAAGTCAACTAATTTTTATTTTTTTTGACACACACACACAAAAAAAAAAAAAAAAAAAAAAAAAAAAAAGCAATCACAACCCAATTCCAATGCTTGCATCTATTTATCACTTATTACGATATTACATCAATCTCCGTAACACAATCAGTTTTGCATCCATTTGAAAGCCCAACTCAACTTCATCCGCTTCAGCTATCATCATTTCTATATTTTGCTGATGGCTGTTGACAATTATCAAAACAAATATAGATAAAATATCAAATTAGACGCCTTATATGAATCTATCACAATCAAATTAAAGCATGCAAAATCAAGGTGAACAAATTCCAAAAATCTATATAATTTCGCATATTTAACGGTTGTTTTTAGTCTTTTACAACACTTTACCATCATCCTCCTAAACCCCAATACTCAAATTCTATGAATTTTTTTTAAATTACCAATAATTAACTTATTCGGTAAATTAATTTTCCAAAGGACTCCAATATGGCTACTAACATTTCATATTGTGTTTTTTATATATCACGAATAACTAATACTCATATACTTCGTATACAAATAGTATAGCAAAAAAAAAAAAAAACAAAAAAAAACAAAAAAAAATTAAGTAGCCCATTAAACATAAAATTGATAAATATTAATTATCGAAGTGTTTGATGATTACCCCACATTTCATCCTCCCCACCCAATGCAATTAATATCGTCAAAGTGAAATGAAAGCATAAATATAAATCAAATAAAAGCATAAATGAAGTGTTTCCGTTACCGTGATTATCGATCAGTTGCCATCAACTCCTGGCCTCGTAAATGATCGAATCATCCAACTGAGTCTGATTGGAAAAAAAAAAAAGGAAATGTTGTGAATTGGTAATGGGAAAGATTATTTTAATCTGTTGAGAGTTAGTAATTCTTACAATACAATTAGTAAAATAAAAATATACCTTGGTTGTATGGTTGCAAGCTCCATCATTTTCTGTGGTCTTGTATTGTTTGAAAATCCATCTCAATGCAGGGAACATGTGAGATTTTGTGCCATTCAGATCCAAAATGTGAATAACTATTATCAGAGTTCGTAAGTATCTTGCTTGAGCTAACATATTCCAACTCGAGAATTCACCACTCCATACATTTGTTGTACTATATCATCTTTCAAAGCTTTTGCTTTTTTCCTCTTTAAAATCGAATAATACAAGATGACGACAATTGAATGTAGTGAATGATGTAGTATCAGCTTTTAGCTTCCCAAATGAACAACTCTTCTTTGAAGATATGTATTGCAAGATCATGCCCTAAATCGTGCATCTTGCATTTCCATACTTCTCCTTTTGCGCTCTCCTCTGTCCAATTATCCTCCTCTAATTGTAAGAATGAGATATTCAACAAAGTTTGGAAATAGTCTTCCCCCATCTTTTCCATTGTCAAAGTTGAGTTGCTTGTTTCATGTAGGGTGAGGAATCCCTGAGAAATCCAAAGATCAATGAGCTCATTCTTATCCATTATGTGGTCTTTGGGGAAGGTCGCACAGTAGGCAAAGCATTGTTTCAAAGAAAGCGAAGGCAAATGCTGATAGCTCAAAAACAACGACGGTAAAATGTAATTTGGATCATTTTCCGACGAAGTAGCCCATACTTCATTATTCTCTATCGATTCCCAATATTGTATCCTTTCCTTCGATTGAAGTAAACCTCCCATAGTTGTTATTGCCAAAGGAACACCGTTACACTTTTTAACAATCCTATGCCCTACCTCCTTATGAGAAGGAGTAGGAATATTGACCTGTTTTTCAAATAATGTCCAACTATCCTCGTCTGATAATCCTTTCACGAACCCCAGCACTCGTTGCAACCTTTTTACTACGAGTGGTAACCAAAATCACACTACCTTGACGACGACCCTCAATTGGTTTTTCAATGAATCCCATAAGGCTTTGTCTTCTTTCCAAACATCATCAAGTACAAGCAAGAACCTTTTGTCTTTCAACTCTTTTTCAAGTTCTTCCCTAATTGCTGCCATGTTAGTCAAGTCGCATTTCTTTGATGAAAGCAATTCAACCATTTCCTTCAAAATTCTTTCAACATTGAAATCCTCAGACACACATACCCACATTTTGTTATCAAAATGTTTTGCAACTTTCTCTTCGTTCTGGTATAGAGCTCTTGTTAAAGTTGTCTTACCAAAACCTGATTATTGAACAATAACAAAATTCAATAACATAATAATGAGGATTTGATAATATTGTAAGGATAAAATATTGATCTTTATTTACCAAAAATAGAATAAATCACAACCTTACAACGTTAGAAAGAGAATAGAGAAAAAATAGTATAGTGAACTATTAATCTCGTGAAGAAAAGTAATATTTGCTATTTTATGTCATTTGCATTTTTGTTATTATTTTATTTTCTTTTTTATATGTTATTTTATTAATCGGAAATTCTCCATATAAGAGAAGTAGACTAATTTATTTCCTATCTCCCATAGCGAGAATAAAATCTAAAATTTTCATGTCTTACCACCCAGTCAAACAGGCACTTCAGTAGTCATAAAACCTAATAACTACCTGTTTTTTAGTTGTCACATTCACCAAATTGATAGATACACATTACAACTTTTTATCTTATTCACTAGTATACATTTTCCAAGCAAGCTTACGACTTAAATATATCAGTGATAAATTTTATATGCATTAACTTTATTTGGCATCATTTTTTTTTTTACTTAGGCCTTGTTTACTTCACCTTTAAAAAAAAAAGTATTTAGTAAAAATAATTTCATTTCAGTTATATAAAATCTATTCAGTAAAATTAATTTCAGTTCAGTAAAAATAAGTTCAGTTTAGTAAAATTCAATTTTCTTAAAGAAGAATTATAATAGAAAATCAGTAAAAATAATTTATGTTCAACAAAAATAATTTCAGTTCAATAAAATAGATTTTTTTGTTTTTTGAATCGCTAATACTTCTCAATCTCTTTCAAGAGTTCCAACTACTTCAATTTAGAGTCTCACAAAATCTTTGATTCAATACAAAATATACTTAGCTTTGGTAAATCTTTTCTCTATCTCTCTCTAGCGCTCTCTCTCTCCCCCAAAAAACCCTACCGTCTCCCTCAAAATCTCTCCGGCCATGAGGCTCGCCGGCGGGTGTGCGGCTCACCGCCCATGCCACAACGTCGGCGAGCCTCTGATCTACCTCCTTAGGGTGTTTTTTTTCTATTTTCGCTTTGGTTTTTTGTCCGGTCGACCTAGCTTTTTGTGCCGCTCCCCCTTTTCAGCCGCCGCTATTCCTCACCGGCCTTGTAGCTGGCTTGCCGCCACTCTTCTTTTCAGCTTCCCCGCCGTGCCTCTGCTCCACCGCCTTGGGCGTCGTCGCGACGTTTTGCAGGAGAACGGGGAGGGAGAGTTATCTCCCTCTGAGTCCCTCGCGTAGGGCCGTTCTCAGTCTGGTGTTTCCAGCCGTCGTTACCACGGTTCAGGGGTGTGTGGGGTTTGGGCTTCTCGGGCGGGTCCCTGCGGGTCGGGCTTTCCTGTACGGTGGTATGTGGGTTGGGTTGGTGAACCTCGGTGCTTGGATGGTGGTACTCGGTTTGGCTGCGGGGTCATTTGCTAGGGTTTCGTTTGT